TCTCTAAAAAAGATATACAGCCAATGCCGGGAGACGCACTTTCAAATGCTACGGATAAAAAAAAAAAGTGTTTGGAACAAAATGGTCAGATGTCTATTTTGTTTCGAAGCGCGCTCCGGTGCGTGAACGCGACGCCGATGCCCAATGACTTCACCGTGACTTGTCGCAGCTATCGCAATGGCTGTACCGTTAACACATGACTGATAACTTTTTACAGTGAAGCTGTTAAACTGGTACTCCACCGATTTTTTGAGCTACCCCAACTAACTATATTTTCTGACTCCCCGGCCTTTACTTTCTCCGGTATGCTATTTAGAATCGCGAAATTCATAATAGTTATTGCGAAATCGGCAAATGAAAATGATGCAAAAACCAACATTCAAATATACGCGCGCTTTTCGGGGCCGTGACGTCAGTGGCAGGCAGGCTTGCCAGTCGAGCAAGCAGCCAAAAAATAGAATATGCCAATCATTTGTTCCGTGCTGGAGCGCGGGTACTGCAGCGAGCTTCCCAAGCATTCATTTGACACCATAAAACTGCTTCGAATCAGTTTAAAACAAAATCTACAGCCCAAAGAGTGAACCCCTGCCTTCCACTGACGTCACTTTTTCATTGTTGCCAGTAGAGACTTCGAGCTTGAAAAACACGATGAGGACTAAAACTGTAAATTCAATAACTTCGCGAAAAAACAATATTTTGACCTAATATTTGGGATACTATTTTCGCGATGTTTGTTGGTTAGTTTAGCAAAATTTCAAGCAAATCGGAGACAATGAAAAAATCGGTGGAGTAGCCCTTTAAAGGGACACTACAACGAAATTTCGGCGCTCATTTTTTGGTCTTTATGTGTTCAAAAAAGCAGCTTCACATCAAACATACCAATATCTTGTTAAAAAAGTCACGAAAAGGAATTTTAAAACGAATTAAACGATTAGCAAAGAGCACCTGGTGGATGTCGCTAACGCCTTGCTTGTAATGCTCGTCTAGGAACCTTGACAGCTAGTGACGGAGGTTGTCTCGTCTCCGGCCACGACGAGAGAAGAGGGGCAGCAGGAACTCCCCTCTTCCCGAGAATGCCTTTTGTGTGTCGCAGAAGTGGCTATTGTCCCCCTACAAGATTATAGAAGATTAACCCGTCACTCAAAATTCCTACAAAAGCAGCCGCTTCGGTGGCTGGAACGACTAGGCCATCCTCTCGACGTCAGCCTTGCCGTAGCTTTGCTCATCTTGAGACGACCTACGTCACGATTGCGTTGGATGTCACGTGGTCTCCGCTGGGCCTTCTCCGAGCGCTTGCCAGAGTGGGCCGTTTATAACGAAAAATACAGCCACCAGGCTCAAAATACAAACGTGCGATTGTCATTTACGGATATTGTGGATCATATTCAACCTATTTTTGAACACGACGGGAATATTTCAAATTTCGTTGAAGTATCCCTTTAAGGGCTAGTATCCCCCCTAACATGTCCGCGGACAAGCGGCGTGTCGACACACAACTCGAGCCAGTTCACCGCCATCCTCACCCGAGTACGACAAGGAGAGTAGTCAGCAGCCACCTGCGTTCGTGCCATCGAGCATGCCCCGTGATTGGCGCAGCCCTACTAGAATGAAACGTCATCGTCTCACCTACCAATCGTGTGTCCTGTGTCCCGTGACGTCGGGATAGCGCTAGCGCTCTTAACAGTTTCCCTTTGGACTCACGATGGGACGGCCGCGTGCGTGCCGTCCGTTCAAGGTGTTTATTGGCACAACTTCCACACAGCCGAGTGCCTGAGGCAGCCAAAAGGCAGAAGCCTGTAACACCAAGTGCTGGCTGCCTCCTCGGCTGTGTGTTAACAGGTGAAATGATGAAGATGAATATACAAATGAAAGGGAGGAAGAAATGGTAGTTCAACAAAGTTATTGAGCTCGGAGGGTACGCGACACAGTCCTGCTAAAGTCGCGGAGGAAGAGCAGAGAGTTCGGAGGAAGAGCGGGAGCGCAAGGAGCGGCGACGTGCGCAGCAGCGCGAATGGCTGCGCAAACGCCGCGAAGCCGCTGTCGCCTCGAGTTCCACTGCGTCGAGCGGTCACGAATTCGTTGCGAAAGAAGAGCAGATCGCTCGCCTGGAACGCCGCCGAGAACAGAAGCCACTAAGTACAACTTCGCTGGTCTTCCTTCTTTACCAAAATGAAAACGTTAAGTTTTTTTTTTTTTTTTTTTTTTTTTAAAGGAGGGTGTTGCCGGTTCGTAAAAATCAGGGTGTCGAACTGGTCATTCTTTCGGTTCGGTTCGGGTTCGGGTTCAGTAGCATTGTATTTGGTTGCGGTTCAGTTCCGGTTTAGATTAGCGCACATAATATCACTCCTGTTACCGGTTTTAATAAACGCGAACCGGTTCGAACCGGCTCCTAAATCAACTTTTGAATATTAGCACTTCCTGCAGCCTTTTCTGGGCACGAGATACTTGGAATAGACCCATCCCAACACTACTTCCTCTTCAGGCAGATCTGAAGGCCCCGCACATTAACGTGCGCAAAAGACACCATTAATGTGGCAAGGCTATTACTTGTATAATACTGTTCTTAAGTGAACTATATATAGGCGATTGGCTTTCCATTTTTTTGTGTGTTTTTTGCACATGCAGCTGTGCAGTATTTTAAACCCTACCAGAAGAATGCGTAATGAGCTTGTGGTGCCATCTTTAGTGTTCGTGCGTATAGTGCGTTCTTCGCTCGCTTTCCGAAGCGACGAACGCGCACGTGCTGGGCTGTGAAGATCGCGCGCTGGCCGAGCGGCTCACCGGCCAGCTCGGCCACTCTCAACTAGCACCCCAAAACGTTCGCTTAGGTTAGCCAAAGGCTCACATACTGACAAACGTGCTGTCGACTTTGCCTTAGGGGGAGCCACTTACCGTGCTCTACATTAATAGTTCTACTCACTTGCTTTCCAACGGACAAAAACACCGTGCGGAAGGTATTAGTCTCCAAAAAGGACCCAGAGGTCTCAACTGGGCACCCCAGATCCTCTCCAGTGGGTGTCGGTTGCTTCTTCGCACACCCAACAGACAGCTCTCGGTGGTCAACAGGTTGGCTTGCGAAAATAGAAAATAAAACCGTAAAAAATCGTTCAAATTCGCGACACCCGTCCGCGAGGTGCTTGTCACAGAGCGGTTTGAAAAACACAGCAGCTGGGTAGCAATCGCCGGGACTCTGCTGCTTGCGAATGGCCGAAGCAATTTGGCACGGAGATTACGAAGCCGCCCCCAGTACGGAGACGACATGAACCATGTTAAAGGACCATTGGCGTCGTATCTAAACGAATTTTAGAAGTCATTCAGGCAAGCCGTCTTTGTTTTGGCACGGGCTAAAACATTTCGCTCGTATAGTGAAATGTGACTACATCTTGACAGCGCTTCGGGAGCCGGCGGAAAAACGCTGTTCTAAAGATCTCGGGGCGATGCTTTGCCTTGTCACTTTGACTTTTTTTTTTTTTTTTTTCTCAAACAACGTTCTATGCAAATGACCCGGTCGGAGGAACTCAGAGCCAGTCACATAGCATGAATTATCAACGTTAAGCTCGTGTCAATATTATATAACAGTACTCACATTTAAAACTGTCAGCCACCGAACAAAGTACCGGTAATGCCACCACAGCGAACGACGTTTCCCGAATGCTCAGTTGAAGACGATGGAAGAGGACTTTAAACAAAACGAGAAAATGGTTGAACAGGCGGCATGCTGGCCCCTTGCTAGTCTGACAAACCTACAAAAAATATATGTGAAGAAACATTTTCTTTTCCCCCCTCCTCCCCTCGGACTCCCTCCAAGGCGCGGGCCGTCGGGGAGTCATCGCCAAAGTTGCCTCCAACGACCCCATGTTTTTTTTTTTCTTTTTAAGATAACACTTTGAACACGTTGAAGAAAAGATCGTTTTTTATTGTAAAGGACCACAGGCGACCCTACAAACTATACTGCCGATGCAGCGCGTTACTTGTCCCCCCTGCCTTCAGGGTGTCGATGCCCACAAGCGGAAGGTCACGTGGTGCGCTCTCGGTGCTCGATTGGCTAAATGGCTCATCGACTGCAACTACGGTCCATCTCAAGGTCAAACATTCGGACGCGTAGGCCTCCATGCTTAGAGTGGCGCAATCCGTTCCAAGCGGCCAAGCGGTACTTCGAAATCTCCGCCGCCGCTACCGCGACGCCAGTGTCAATCCAAGAAACAAAGGAAAGTTGAAGCTCTCAAGATCCCTAAGTAAATGCGGGAACTGAGCGAGCTCGCTGACCACGCGGTCTCGTTGTGTCCCTGTTTTTGATGATCATGCATTTTTATTACGTAAAAACCGAAATGTAAAAATATCTGACAGTATGCAGGATTAGTCTCGACAATATAGGAAATAAATACGCCCACAACATTCCCATTAAGAGAAATTATTGACACAATTGGCCCTGAACCGCTTTCGTGAACCGGTAACCGCCACATCAGATTATGGTTTCGTTCCGGTTCGAGCGTTCAAATTCGGTTTCGGTTTTGTACCGATTCGGTCAAAAATAACGGTTTTGATCCGGTTTTCGGTTCGGGTTCGGTTCGACACCCTGGTCAAAAATGGGCACAAAACGAAAAGCGTGAGAGATAAGACGTGCAAAAAGAAGGGGAAAGGATGCAAGCGACGTTTCTGGCGCGAAACTTGCTTTCTTTCACATTACATTCGTTTTGCACGTATTATCTCACGCTTTTCATTTTACGCCCAATTTTTTTTTTTTTTTTTTGAGGCGGGAACATGTGTGGCAAGAATTTTTCTGTTTACAGACGCAGGAAACGTTTGCTTGCTCTTGCTATCATTAGGACCAGGACCGAAGTGCTGCATCATTCGAAGCCGCCTTTGTTCTGCCCTCGATGCGATAATAATGCTCCTACACGACGAAAAAGTTTGAAATTCAAAAAACCGCTTTTAAATTGTAGTCTTTTAGTACTGGTGGCGCCATCTCTCAACAATAATACCAACCAGCGCTAAAAATTAATTTTGCGAAATAATAAATAGATTCTTAACATACAAATAAGCGAATAAATTAACTATTTCTAAAGCTTAAAATATTTTTTAGTTTCTAAAACCAGCAGTATTACGACAAAGAAGAAGGTTGTAACAGTGTTCCCAACCGAAAAGGACACCGAAATCTCCAAAAGGGTCACCTTTCGAGGGCCCCCAAGCGACCCGCCTCCGTCCATCCGTTGCGTCCTATCGTCGCGGCGCTTCTCGCACTCGCACGGTGAGCGCGCCCAAAAACAACGCCAGAGAACAACGCCAGAGAACTGGCCTCGGCAGCATTTAACACACCATGGCTTCGCGTAGACTCCACAGAGCCGTGTGGATCGGCGGTGGAACCTTGGTAGCCGCGTACGGCTTGGTCCGCTACACCGACCGCAAGCAGGGAGCCGTCGTCGTCGCTGCGGATCTCAAGGATACACCGAGCCGACCACACCTGCCGCTTCCATCCCGAGCCACGCAGCTCAAGAACCTCCGCGAAACACCTGAATTCGACGTGCTCGTCATCGGCGGAGGCGCGACCGGCGCCGGCGTCGCCCTCGACTCCGTGACGCGAGGCTTCAAGACCGCGATGGTCGAGATCTACGACTTCTCGGCCGGCACGAGCAGCCGCAGCACCAAGCTCATCCACGGTGGCGTCAGATACTTGCAAAAAGCCATCATGAACCTAGACATCGAACAGTACCGGATGGTCCGCGAAGCGCTGCAGGAGCGCGCTAACCTGCTCACGATCGCGCCTCACCTTTCGACCCCGTTGCCGATCATGCTGCCCATCTACCGTTGGTGGCAGGTACCGTACTACTGGGTCGGCATCAAGATGTACGATTTGGTCGCCGGCAAGCAATGCCTGAAAAAGAGCTACTTCTTGTCTTCCAAGCGCTGTCTGGAACTGTTCCCGATGCTCAAGAAGGAACACCTCTGCGGGGGTCTGGTCTACTACGACGGACAACACAACGACGCTCGCATGAACATCAGTATCGCGCTCACGGCCGCCCGCAACGGCGCCAGCATCGCGAACCACACGGCCGTCATCGGCTTGCTCAAGAAACGGGACAAGGACGGGAAAGAGGTCGTTTCCGGTGCGAGAGTCAAGGATATGCTCACAGGGGACGAGTTCGAGGTGAAGGCCAAGTGCGTCGTCAACGCGACGGGACCCTTCACGGACACCATCCGCAAGATGGACGACCCCAACGCCAAGCCCATCTGCCAGCCGAGCTCCGGAGTCCACATTGTCCTGCCAGACTACTACAGCCCGGACCACATGGGACTCCTGGACCCGGACACGAGCGACGGACGCGTCATCTTCTTCCTCCCCTGGGAAAACACCACCATTGCCGGAACGACAGATCGACCTTGCCCGGTGACCCACTACCCGGCCCCCACAGAAGACGACATCCTCTTCATCCTCAACGAAGTCCGCCACTACCTGAATCAAGATGTTGTTGTCCGTCGCGGCGACGTGCTATCTGCCTGGGCAGGCATCCGGCCGCTCGTCGTCGACCTGAACAAGACGAAGCCTGGGAAGACGGAAGCCATTGCCAGGAACCACATCATCTACATCAGTGACTCGAACCTGGTCACTATCGCCGGTGGGAAGTGGACCACTTACCGAGTCATGGCGGAACACACCATGGATGCCGCGGTGAAGGCCTGTGGACTAGAGCAGCAACAGAGGTCGACGACCCTTGGCATGACCTTGGAAGGAGGCCACACCTGGACTCCAACCTTGTACATCCGTCTTGTCCAAGACTTTGGGTTGGAGCCGGATGTGGCCAAGCACCTCTCGCGGAGCTACGGAGATCGCGCAGTGTCCGTCGCAAAACTGGCCGCGCTCACTGGCAAACGCTGGCCTGTCCTAGGACGGAGACTGCACGAAGAGTTTCCCTACATCGAGGCGGAGGTGCGGTACGCGATCCGCGAGTATGCATGCACGGCAATCGACGTGATTGGTCGCCGGATGCGGCTGTCCTTCCTCAACGTCCAAGCGGCCCACGAGTGCCTTCCACGAGTCGTCGACATCATGGCAGAAGAGCTCCAATGGTCCAAGGCTCGGAAGGACGAAGAGCTTGCCAAGACCAGGGAGTTCCTCGACGTCGAGATGGGTGGCAACGTCAACAAGGAGTCGCAGCAAAAGCTTAGCATGAGCTTCACCAAGTCGGAAGTGGATCAGTACATCCAGAAGTTCCAGGCAATCGACAAGGACCGCAAGGGGTACATAAGCGTCGTGGACCTCCGGAGGAGCCTCAAGGCAGCGGGGGAGAGCGTCTCGGAGCTTCAGCTCCACGAGATGCTCAACGAGGTGGACCTCAACAAGAACGGGCAGATCGAGCTCAGCGAGTACCTTGAGCTGATGAACTCTCTCAAGACCGGATCCATTGCGGGCAGCCGGCTTGCCAAGGCCGTAGATCTTGAGTACTCGCGGACTCTCACCGTTGACCGGAGTGGCGGAGGACTTTAAGAGTGAAAATGGTTCTTTAGGTTTAACCTTCCGTGCCAGATGACGTAAGTAAATGCTCTTCTGTTCCCAGCCGCCTTGCGTGCTACACAAGATACAGAGTGCTCTGAATCTCTTCCCGATACAAAGGTATTGCTGTTCTCCCCATTTCTATGTACCTAAACCCTTTCTTTTTATCAAGAAGAAAGAGGTTTACCAGGCCCAGTGAATGTGGGTCAAGCTCCTTGCTTTACAGTGTTTCTTGAAAAGCGTGTAACAATATTTAGCATGGCTAAACTGTATTGCCATGCCTTCGAATGGTTTGTTGCCTTGCTCCTGTACTACTCAGCCTAAGATTAATAACAATATACCCCAGTGCATTTTTTTCTTCTTACATATTTATATTTACAGGGGTGTTGAAGTCCTGCAAGTTACTTTTGCTCTTGGGATGGTTTGGAAGCAGTCTTATTTGTATCCCTGTGATAGCTGTAATTCATATTTCCGCTTCTGTTGCATTGATGCCGAGCATTATCTGAGCACAAGTTATATGTGTCTTGGTGGATGAGCTTTTTTTGCATCAAATGCACATTTGCACAAGCTTGGGTGATAGTCCTGTGATAGTCAGTCCCTAGTCTTTATACCTAAGTTGATGCTCCTTTCTTTTTGTGCGATTAAAAATCCAGTCCTTCAGAGATGTCCAGCAAAGTTTTTGTTTGTTTAGGTGTTAAGAGTGAAAAGTTTACATTTCTGTTGAAACTGTTGTTTGAAGACCATAATCATTGTCTTTTCGTCCCATTGGCTCTGCTTCCAATTTCAGATTTTTCTTTTTTATGTAGAATCTCACATCAAAAGTACTTGACGTTGTCTGTACTTACTCTTCATGATTATGAAAACAAGCTGTACACACTGCTACGTAGCCAAATATGACACGGGTGCTTTGTTGCTATTTATTTACTTTGATTACTAGAATTGAAATTCAAACTACCGCCGATTTGGTGCCATGTACAAAGACATTGTTCCACACCAGTAGCTTCGATGCAAAAAAAAAAAAAGAATACTGCAATAATATGTTTAACTGTGTAGCGCTGTGTATATGCTGCATGAAGACTCTAGTGCATTTGCTGCCTTTACTCGAGTTGATATTATTAGGTTGTGTTGCAATATAGGAGTTTTATTTTACCATGTGCATTTGTCCCCTTAGGTTGTTTTTGGTATGTATGGAATGTTTTAAGTGATCAAAGATTAGTGCAGTGATGTTTTGAAATCATACAGTTTTACCACTGTACAGGTTGTTTTTGGTATGTATGAAATGTTTTGAGTGATCAAAAATTAGTGTAGTGATGTTTTTGAAATTTTAGCGCTATGTATGCTCTATTCAAGTTTGCTAGCACTGCTACCTTTTTTTTTTTTTTTTCCTGTTTGAATAAACTATCACCTTCTGAAAAGCTACCGGTATGCTCTTACTCAACTTACAATCTCAAGAAAGTGCCATAAAACAATGTCATTTTAGTATGCAAGGTGTAATAAACAAGTATAGTGATGGACCTGGTAACAGTCGAATTGCAACTCAGTAGGATGCGGTCTTTTATATTCAGGGAGTTTTATTTTAGGTTAAATAGATCAATTTAAAAAAAGAAACAGTGAAAGATACGTTAATGTGGTCGTGCAGGCGAGTTATACAGCCAGGGGGACATAATAGTCAAGTAATTAACTAAAATAGTAGTCACAATAAGTCGAGCAATTCATTGAAATTTGGTAACTAGCTTTTCAATTGTTGAAATGAAATTGAAAACTTTCAATTTCAACCTAAGGGAACACCTGGGTTTGCTCAGCAGGCTCGGAAGCTAGCTGGAGTGGGTGCTCGTAATGTCCTTTGCCCACATTTTAAACATTTAAAAAGCAAGGAGCGGGTGCCCGTAGCAACATAGGTGCATGCTCAATATTTTGCGGTAGTCACCAAGAAGCAAAGCGATCCCAGGGTGTCCAGGGCTTCGAGCGAAACATGATTTGGCAGTTGAACATCATTACCAAAAAGAAGATAGAAAAATGCTTTCACCTGTGGTGGGAGCGCCAGAGTTGTGCAGATTCAGAAAAGCTACACAATTTCGTGGCTTCTGGTCCATTTGTTTTATTAGGTTTACACTATCAATACTTTTCGACCATACCTTGTATGCAATTTATCTTTCTGACCTGCCATTTTGTGACGAGGCAATGATGAACGAGCATTTTAGTTTGACAACCTTACGAATGAGCTAAAAATGTATCGTCATAAAATAGCAGACTTATTTTAATTCATTAGAATATCTTTCAACACAAAAGTATACTGGTAGTTTGAATATGTGCAGCAATCACATTCTAAGGCAAGCATCAGACATCCTTTGAAAGCTGTTTATTGTTTCGAACAATTGAACAATACTTGGCACTTTCAATCGCCACACCTATGGAGAGGAAAGAAAAGGTGGGGCAACCTGGAGGTTGAAAATCCCTTGAACACATCCACCCATTATGTGGAAATTAGAAATATTGCTAACATATGTACATGACTCGGGTATGTATGTACACAGGACATTACTGATCCTTTTACTTCCTCATAACCCGTTGTAAATAGTTATGTATGTACATTCCATACTTTATGTAAAAAAAAGCAATTAGAAATAACCTAGTGCCAGTTGCGTCAAGATGTGCATGTAAAATGATAACGACATTCATGAAAACACCAAACGCCCGGATGAAACTTGCCAAGAGTTGTTCTAGAGGTCACCGGGACGGTGCGCTTTACCACGGGCACCGCAGGTGGCCCATTTCTTAGACCCCAGAGGATAAAGCAAACAAGTTCAACACAAATAAAAAGATAGCTACAAAATTTTAAAAAGGTGCTTGTCCTCTTTTAGGCAGAAACGGGGCACCCATATTTTGCTTTTTGAAGTAGCAGTAAGCCAAAGGCTACAGACGTGCCCTCGCAACTCTGGCAAGTGCTTCTGTTTGCAGCCTCAGCTCCATCACATCATTTCTAGTGGTCACTAGAGAACACACTGTTGCAGTGGCGGGCTCGTGGCTCAGACAGCACAGCGGGTCCATACGTAGTCGATCACCCGCATCGTAGACAAAACGTGGGTGACCACTCTTTGATGCAGAGATCTTCAATTATTTATGTTACACTGTGTTTGCTCTGTTGTGGACCAAACAGTTTGATGACTGGTATTCTCCCGCAGTGTCTATGGACGCAACAGCAGTCACCAAGGTTTTGGCACATTGTACCGGTACCGTCCTAATCTCTAGCATTCCGTGTGGCCAGCACTACCATACACCCTTGATGGGTAATGAATGCCAAAATCAGGACCATCGCCCTCTGTATGTTCAGGGTAGAAACACGACCAGATAATTGTGCAGCTCATCGCTCAACGCAATTTAATTTAAAAACAAAAGAAACACTGACATTTCTGCTCAATGGAGGCATTCATTTTGCTGTACTTGCACGATAATGAGGCACTTCCAAGCAGAGCAAAAACTAATCACCGAGAAAACTGTGCTATTTGAGTGATGGCCTAAGTCGAGGACCCTACTTGGCAATAGTGTTTCACTTTGAATGCCCAGCGTAGTGTACTTCAAAGTGCCCTTGACAGGAAACAGGACGCCATACTTCGCTTTCAGTGAGGAAGGTTGAAGTGTAGGTTAATCGTCAGATTCTTTGCAGTACTATGTTGTCCAGAAGCAAATCACTAAGTATGCAAAGACACAACAATCACCTTTCTCCATTTTCCTCTCTAACAGTCGTTTTGTGCGTCGGCAACAGATGCAATTCAAACAGAACGCTACCTATGTACCTACGTTGACTGTACAATTGGCAATGGAAACAACCGAAACTAAACAGCCACGCACTGATAGAGTCTTTCTTCTGGCAAACATTTGGCACGAGGTGATGAGATATTTACAAAGTTCGAAAAGTATGACAACCGTTAGTTAGAATAGATTTCTGTACTTGGCGAGTTCATCCTTACAGTGTGCTCCTTTGTCAATTACATTTCCCCGACACGTCCAAAATTCGTGGTTTGCAACAAATGGCTATGCACATTCAGATTGCAGTAAATTTTGCCGAATAAACCAATAAAGTAATCTTGTTAAATTCTTACTACAGTGCACACCCTTGATAATAAGCACAGATATAAATATTACCAGCATTTAATTATGGCAGTTTGAGCAGCACACTCCAACTGCATTTCTTTGGCAAATAATTGAGTCCTTTTTTCAGTCTGGACAGTTAAGAGTTTAGATTTAAGTTTGACATTTTTACTATGTACATGGCAATTCCCACATCTTCCAGTGCACACTTTCCTAGCATTTAGTTATGGCAGTTCAAGCAGCAGGTTATTAAAGAGAAGCGAGTCAACTGCTGTGACTCCAACTACACTTCTTTGGCAAATATTCCAGTCCTTGTCTCAGTCTGGGCTTTAGCCTGGTATGGGAATTTCTGTATTTTCCAAGAAAAACTTCTGCAATGCAGATACCCTTGGTAGCTTCCCTCTTCCCCCGAACTGCGAGGGTAGCAAGAAAAGATGAAAGGAGAGGTGAAAAAAGAAAATAGGTATGGGAAAGAAATCAAGTATACGTAAAAAGTGCAGTGTATGAGAGCCCCCAACCACACTGCAAAATATACAAATATTATCCCTGCCAAGAAATACCAGTGGGCTTTTCTGAAGTGGCATAGACATTCATGGTGGGTAATGCATAATTATGTAGAAGCGTTGTTCAACAGATAACTATTACAAACACAAAGTTAACAAAAAGCAGAGTGTGTGCAAGAAACACACCTGGTCAGAACAAGGGCTGATGCTTGGTGTTAATAGTTAAGAAGTGCTCAAGAACGCACATATAATTTAGGGATGAGTAAGGTCACCTGTAATTGTCCTATAACATTTCATAAATGGAGGTATTCCGCTAAAGCTACCTTTCTAATCAAAGAATTGCCGAACCATTTAGGCTCCTTTGGATCTTGTAGCCGCATGTTCCTGAATTATTCCTGGTATCTTTTCTTTGTCACGTCTCAACCGCTAAATACAATTTTCGAAGTCAAAATATAATAGGCCGGCAAAGTCCTTTAAGTTGTACTTGCAGCATTCAAGTCTCTAGTTTCATATAACCAAAACTTATACCTTGACCCATTTGTCCCTTTACAGTAGCAGAGAAGGAAGATTAGCTAGCTGCCTTTTCATGACCACAGGAACCGTAAGCTTCCTCCCAGGCTGGAACTAAATTGCTTGTTTACTTTTTTCATTCAAGACAATAAAGGAGGTAAAAACAATAAATGCTCTCGACCTACACTATCAGAAAGTGCACGGATTCGGACCAGTTAAAAAACATTAATCTCTAGACCTCTTACCAACTTCATACCACACATTTCACTCTTTCTGTTCAAGTACCATCTCTTTTCCTGATGCTGAAATTCTTTTCTTTTTTAACAAACATTAAAATGAAAACTTTAAGGTTTACAATTAATTGTGCGAACATTTGGTAGGCACCCGTCAAGACACATGAGGTACTGACAAAGCCATTTTTGGTGAATGCTTTGCGACACCTCCATCCAATGCAACAAACAGTGAAACCAGCGCCACTTCCGAGACCTGAAACAAAAACTTGTAGTCAACAAATTCTTTAAAAAAAATAGCTGGCAAAGACCTCCAAGCAATTGTGAGCATGAGCAAACACTTCTGAAAGGAGCTTTAGCCGTGTGACTCATACGGAATTCCAAAACCAACTCATGAATTTTCTGTCGCTGCACAACTTTCCATAAACCACCATTCGTTTGTCCGTGCCGCCATAGCCCCATTTCCAATGCCCGTGACGAAAAGTAAAATGACAACAGTGCCAGGTTTAGTACGTACCTCTGGTCAGCGACAAATGCAAACTCACCATTTTGCCTCTTGACCACTCACAATGCACCCCTTTCAATGTTCAGTGCCATCTGGTGATTCAAAAGGCAGTTTCACTTTCGACAAACTAATGGCGGTCATGAAACTGTACTTCATCGGGCACCGTCACTTTCGCACATCAATGGCAGATGAAAATTGGTTCTTCGAACACGCCCTAATCCATTCTTGATTTCAGCTTCAATGGTGTGAACACAAGAGCTGACCAGTACAGTGCAATCCACTTATAACGATACCACTTATAACAATGTACTGCTTATAACAATCAATTTCTATAGTTTCTAGTCTAGATTCGATAATCGGTTATAATGATTGAAATTTCGTGTTTTCTCATTACTGTTATAAGTGGATTGCACTTATAACTTTGATGAAATTACCACCATCAAAAGGCTTTAGAGCCATACTTGTGCCAAGAGATTAATTAGTTGCAGCACACTCCGAAAAAAACACTTTAAACGCTTACGCAGTAAATGTATCAAATTCGTGCACCGTGTTGTACTGACATCTCAAACGTACAGCCCTCATATATTCTCCGCTTGGTACTAGTATCTTCAACTTCTTCCTTCATCAGCCTCAAGAAGGCCACCATTAGTTTGGCACAGATGCCATTCACCGAGATGACGACAGTGATCAAGGTTGCCAGATTGACTTTAGAAAAGGGTCCATCCAAAACCATTGGTTCCAAACATTCAAAACAAAAACCTAAACACTCGTCTTCGGCATATACCTTTCGAAAAAAAAACAAGCGCAGCCGTCTTTCTTTCAATGCAACGTCCTACACCACTTAAGGCAGGAGCCGTTCTCAGATGTCCGTCTCGACCGACGGAGGGTGCCTATGATGATGATGGTGGTGGTGGTGGTGGTACGACGGTTCGTGGGGTAGCGTCCTCGGTAGCGAACCGCACCGCTGTCCGTGCGGCGAATGGCGCGGGCACGGTACTTTGGGGGGCGAGGGTGGCGTGGGGCAACCGTTGAGCGGTAGGCCGTAGTAACCCTTGTCCCCGCTGGCCGTGGCCGAGATGCTGAGCATACCGGACTCGAGTTCGTCCAGCCGCTTGCTGACCAGGGCCGCCACCTCGAGGTTGTCTAGCTTCTCTTTCGCCGCGATGCTGACTGGTTTATCCTGTAACAAGCAGACGTTTTCGCTTCAGCTGGGATTGAGCAGAGACTAAGTGTGCTTGTGATGTCAGTACAGTGAGTGTCTCTGTGTGCTGATAACACTGTACCAGCATGACGAGCATGCTTCTCACCAGTGTTGAGAGCATCAGCGTTGCAGCCAACCGATAAAGCTCAAAGACTCAGTTGGCTCCAGGAGTTTCATTTTCAAGTCCTTCCCACCAACATTGACAATACTATTCATGTTTTGTTTATAGTACTGCTATCATGGCACAACGTGTACATTGTAAACAAAATTTTTTGAAAAGCTTATTTCAATATAAAGATGCTCTTGTCTAAACATGATGTCTTCAAACTTGGGAAGCTTCCCCCATGGCAGTCAGACTCCCCAATCGTAGTATAAGAGTGCAGCACACTACTTAAACCTTGTTGCAAATCTAAAAGTGCTACAAGTAGGGGTGTGGAAAGTGGTTTGAATAGAACGCCGCATCTCTCATAGCCTCAAGTCCAAAGAAAAGCCACAGAATACCAGCTCTCTTTACAGTGTTGAGGCTAGAGGTCACAACATGCCATTCGAAGCTATCTTCACACACCCCTTGCTAAAAGCTTCCTGCTGCTCAAGCACTATTCTCTTCCCCCTGTACACCCCCACTGCAGTCATGGTCCCGGCAAGAAAACAGTTCCAGCACGGCACTGGCAAACATTTGCTGCCCAGATCTGGGCGGCGAGACTTGTTACTCCAGGCACCTATGCCACTTTGTGACCCGTAAACTTCCTCCGTCAAGACCACAAACTCCGAGAAGTGAAAAGGGCGGCTCACGTCTGTGCCGTCGTAGCGGACCTTGGCACCCCAGCCCCAGGGCTTCTTCTCTAAAATGTCGGCGGGGCCGGGACCATGACTCGGCGGAAACCGGCCGAGGTGCGGTGCTCCTCTCCCAACCACGTCATGTTCCCTCCGCCTCTTCTTTCGCCAGACAATCAGTGCGCCGCACAAGAGTATGAGCAGCGCAGCCCCCACTGCACTCAGGGCTATGTACGTGCTCTGAAACACCGGATCTGCGCAAGATCATAAAATACGGGCTGCGTTAAGCACGAACCGCAAAACAAATGGGCTGGTAACTGTTTGTCCTTTAAAATTGCAAGACGGAGGTGATTGATCTAAACTTGCAGGACTGCAGCTTGCTCTGCAAACTCGAATGCTATGGGGTTTGATTTTTATTTTACAGCCAATTTCGACGAGAATGGGCAGTCCGTCAGCGTGAGATTGTGCTTAATGCATATTAAGAAGTTCTGTTTAGAAGTCCTGCTGCCCGTCTCCAGTAAAGTTATAAAGTGACATTTCAAGCCGGATCGGCTTTCTGCTGTCTAGACATTTATAGAACAAACTTGAGATTTTTTGCAGGGTCTGAAGCATTTTGAATTGGTTCCACTTGAGCATTCCTTCGCATGTTCCCATTTGCATGTCCCCCAGTCTCGGGCCTTTGCAAGACAGTTACTTTGTACCAGACTTCTTGCAACGACACGCCAGTTAGGTTCTGTTTTCCTATGACAACAGTTGTTAATGCTTAATCACACTACCCTTCAAATATACTAGTATATCTGCGTCTTGTGCCACCGATAGCAAGGCCAAGCACATTCCAGATTTTAGCGAAAAAATTAATCCAGTAAAAAATATTTAACTATGACAACTTATATATCGCACAAAATGACCCCTTACCATTGAATTTAAATCCTATGACATGGCATCTCCCTTTGGCCATTTCAGAAGTGCTGCACCTGAAAATTTAGAGCAGTTGTAAACTCTTTCCTATGCGAGGAAACATTTCAAATAGTATATACTACTCACTTCTATTACATGGTTTATGTCTGGCATGTACTACTACAGTTCTATAATGTGCAGCAATACCATGCAGTGACTGGACTCCGAAACTTTCATATCTCTTATCTAAAACATAATCTTTTCGTGAACAAAACCTACATGTACAGTCGCTGACCGATTTTTCGGACGGAGATATTCCGACTTGTTTGATATTTTGGACCTGAAGGAGAAACCGTGACCTACCCGACCAGAAATAGTACATATTCACGATCTATGTTTTGGACAGTTCGAGGTCCGAAATTTAGATTTTTCGAACAAAAACGTTGCGAGCGATCAGCGGGAAACACCACCGAGAAGCGGCCATTTCGGACTCTACGTTGGCCGCACATAGATTGGCTTGGTTTGGCAGTGCTACTTAAGTACTGCTAAGTACAGTAAAACCTCGTTATAACAAAGTTGAAGGAGCGATCGTAATTATTTCGTTATAACCATTAGTTTGTTATAGCCAATGTCCATTTCTTCCCTATTAGCAAGCAAGGGGAATTATGATTGCTTTGTTATATCCATTAGTTTGTTATATCCCATTTTGTTATAACGAGGTTTCACTGTACTATCGCTAGGTGATGCTGCACGGCTTTTTTTTTTTCTCTAGCTGTGCGTCATTATCCTCGTCATTGTTGCTACCATTTTGCCTTGTTCATTCACCCTTGCAGTCGTGGACTTGCGCCTCTCATCTCATCTCGTCTCAGTGAATTGTGTTTTCAGACTATGCTGGCTTGGATGTCATTGCCCCATCTGTTGTTCAGCAACTGCAATGTGTCGCTAAGAAGCACAGAAAGTACTCTACCACAACGCTGGAAAAGAAGGCAGTGGTTCTTAAGCTAACAGAAAGTTGCCAAACGCAAACGAAGGCGTAACCTGAAACAAGGCACTATTTACGCCTTTTTACAGCGAAGCTGTTTATGGCTAGGGTTCCGTGGATTTTTCCTGTGCGTGACCAAAAACATTACGCTCCCACTGCCGCATGCACTGCAAGCGCACGCCTACCCCGTATACAAGATTCAAAGTAAATAACCAAAATGATGCGTTGATGAATGCGCATGCAAGATGCTGTTTGTTTTAGGCTCTTTCTTTAAAACAGTTACTGCTGCAGACATTGGCACGTGCAGCATGTGGAACACCATCCCAAGCATTCTCCCTGATGCTTGGGTAGTTTATCAATAGGTCTATTTAGTAGATTAGTTATCAATAGGCACCATTTTCAAGATCAGTAAACTCTCAGGTAGAAAATAAATGTTTCTCAAAGATTTGCTACTGTGCAACCTGCGTCGGCCATGTCTACGCTCGCACCGCCCTCTCTCTGTCATCGTTCCAAGTGCATGCCTGTCTAGTTTCCTTTCCTTCCGCTTTCCCGGGGTGGCGGTCCCGTCACGCGTGTTTACTTTCCGGCGGGTAGCAGTCCCGTCGCAAGTGTCTGGTTTCTTCCGGCTCCTTGGGGCAGGTCTGTGCCATGTGCTAATACAGCTTCACTGGTCGGCCATCTTCCCAGAGTGGAATGGCTCATGTTTAAGAATGCTTAGACATAATAACGGCAAGTTTTTTTAATCTGCCGACTTTTAAAGGGGGGGCTGCAATGATTTCCGGACTTCGGCCAAACATTTGTGGAAGTTGCCCTCTGACCCTTTTAAAGTAAAGAACAGAAAACAGATTTTGCCTGCGTGTCCTAGTTGTGTAAAAAAAAAAGATAAATATTGGCATTTCTGGCACCCCTCAACTCGCTCCCAGTCTTCAGGGTCACACTCGGTCCCCCTCCTAGTGATGTAATTCGGGGTGCCGTGTAGCTTCCCGTGTGCTCTCTCGAAGGACGCTTCCTCTCCCTCTCTCTGCTGACATTAGCGGGCGCTATGCTGCAGCTTAGAGCCGACCGAGGTCACATTATCTTTTTGCCGTAGTTCCTTCGGCTGCCACTTGCGGCTGCAGGTGGGGGAAAAAGTTAAGGCTTTTGCTTTGAGATTATGCAGCAGAATCGCAACATTTTTGAATGAAGATGTTTTCTCTATCCTCCGGGACATGATAAACAATGTAAAAATGACGAGATGCAAATTCTTTTAACCTTAAAATTGTTGCACCCCCCCCCTTTAAGACTGCTTCATTAGTACTCGGACTTCTTCAATTCCTGCGAAGTCCGAAAAATCGGTCGGTGACTGTATCCGCTTTTCTGGACAGCAAAGAAAAAGCCAACCATTACAATTTACAAAAGGGAACCAGCAGATAAGAAGACACATACAACATATGAACTCAAAAGATAAACCTGTGCTAGTGTCCTGACCACCAGGCAATATGTTCAGAATCCCAGTGTAGATTGCATTGGTTTGTCCAAATGTGATTTTTACCACATTGTTTCATGGTTTTTCAGTAAATTTGCACTACAGGAGAACTTTTTGTTCTTAAAACTGTAGAATGGCATATCAGCACTTTTGAATTGTTCACTAAACTGCTTCCCTGATGTGTTGTAGCAGTGGAGTATGCATATATATATATATATATATTTTAGAGAGTTTCAATCAAGTTACCTATGCAGATTGTGATTTACATACAGTTAACATAAGACAAGCATGCTCTCACACAACCCAAATGAATAAATATGAGGCTTCACCTGACAGTGCTGAGGTTAGAATGGCCGGTAGGTGGTACAGTGATTGGTCCACTGGTATCACTGGGTGTTGTCATGTCTGGAACTAGACAAAGTGCACACACCAACCTAAGCTTGGCCAATTAAAAAAAAAAAAAGCACTAACACCACTCATGTCCCAGTCAACTTGTTTCTCGACCATTTGCACTGTAATGACCAGGTAGTGGCTGAAAAGACCCATGATCGAGAACCATAACTGAAGAACTCAACGAATGAACATACAACATGCAGGTCTCAACCACATATTGTTGAGACTTAATGCTGTACTATGCCATCTTCATTGACTCTTCTTGCTCGGTCTCGAATCTCCATATCAGAACGTAAAATAGACGATTCTGCTGTTTACAGAAATCAGTCCACACGTGCAAGATCACAGATCAGCGTGCGCTTGCAACGGTGGTCAGTCAGAAAATGCTAGTGTGAAACATACAAACATGGCAATGAACGTGCCCAGAGGTGCTTTTATAGAAAGCCGCATGTACTGGCTCGCCTGCATTAGAATTTTGGATACAAAACAATACTGATTATTCAATTCGGTGCAAACTTGCATACAATCTTTGTTTTTTATGGGCAGCAACTTTGCTCTTAATTGTTAATTATCCTAAACAAAATAAAGAGTGAGCAAAAAAGTATCTTAAATTAAGCATGCGACATACCCGTCGTATTATATTCTTTGTTATAAGAGGACTAAAGGTTTATATTTTACTATTTTACCTCACTCAAAACCACTAAAAAGTCTAAGATGTCAGTTACTCTAACTAAAGTATGAACTGCAGAGGCTTTTACTTCGGTACGGTTTCTAACACTGCACACAAACAATGCCAGTAAACACTGCTTCTGAATAATTAAGAACATAAATAAAGTGAAGATGAAGATAATGATGAATCAAATATAAATTAATCAAAGTTTCATCCTTGGCAGCTGAGAAGGACTCACATGTGGAACAGTGCCTTGGATCGGGGTAACTGGGACAGGCACAGATGTGTCCTTGTGGTCTATAGAAGCAAAGGTGACTACAGCCACCATTTCGAAGGCTGCACGAGTTGGTTCCTTCAAGAAAAGAAAACAATGTGCCACAGATGAGTGCAAATTAACAAGTCAACACTATAAAACAAACTGAATCAAGGCTAGTAAAACTGATAAAATTCAAAGATTTTAAAACCCGTGATTACACAGGCATCATAAGTAATTATACCAGCTGTGCGGCATTGACAACTTAGTTCCTCACAATACCACTTGTTTTCTTAAACCAATAAAAAAACAGGAAGATGAGTGTAAACAAATAACAATGCCCTATTACTACCACCATACTTCAAGAAGGGCATTATGCAACTAGCTAGTTGGCAAAAGTTTGGAAATGAGGCACCTCTAGTTAATTCTTGAGGGAGGGCCAACTTTAAAGTTTCAAGAGTTAAGAAATCGAAGTTTAAAGTTCAAATGGTATACTATCCAAGGTACATTTACCGACGCCAAAAGAGCTTACCTGTCTGACGTGACCGGGCCACCATCTTTATTTCCATGAGGTACTCAATGTTTTCGCGGACTATTATCCGTTCCGCTCCAGTGTCCTTGTTTGCTCGCTCTATGGCTTTCGTTGTCCAATCGGTCCAGTATATGTGTGACTCATACTAGAAACATAAGAGGCCAATAGTCATTCTTCATAGCTCCACTCATCTAATAATTTTAAAAACGCTCATCCTACACATTCAGACACTTTAAATCCACTTACATTGCATCTGGATTCTTCTAAAATTTTTGGCTAGTTTATAGAGGTAAGCAAATGTATCTGACTGGGAACCAAATTTGGATATCTCCGATACAAATATTTTACATTATGTGTGAACTGAGTGGTATAGATACTTTAGAAAATCACAGCTGGAAATATTTTATAGAAACCATACCTATCAAAAGGAAAACCTTTATTACATTAGAAACATTCCTTTCGTTAAAAAAAAAGCCCCAATAAGTTAAGTTTGGTGAAACATAATGTAACATGGTAAGCAAAGCAGTGACTACCTTGTTTATTTGAATATAATTCGAGGTTCCCATTTCTGGCACTGTCCTTAAAAATCGGGGGTTCAACTATAATTGCAACCAATGAAGGCTGACCTACAAGAGTGAGCAAAAGTTTTAAGACCACTGAGCCAATCGAGATGCTCCGCTACGTAAACTGTTTCTTTTAGCACGCTGACGCGAAGCAGTGAAGCTTGATGCGCACGTGCCGGTGCAAAGCGGTGAAGCCCGCTGCCAAAGCGCTCCACGTAATGTCATCACGCTCGGATGACGCCAACTCAACGAATCAGCCCAAGCACGACACAGTGATTGAATGCAAGGCCCAGCCGAACGCCGACAGAGCACTTGTTTAATTTGCATCTGCGCTCTTCTCTCTCTCTGACAACGTCGAAATACCAGTGCGCGGGCTTTGATTATTCTAGTTGGGGTTGGCTAAATCAGCTCGCACTGCTGCACCCTGTACCAGTCTTGGGTAAGTTACTTTTAAAAAGTAATTTGTTACAGTTACAGTTACTTTCAGAAAAAAGTAGCGAAGTTACCGTTACAGTTACCGGAACAAAAGAGTAACTCGTTACAGTTACAGTTGCTTCTAAAAAGTAACGACGTTACTGTTCAGTTACTTTTCTATAACACAAAAAAAATGAGAAGAAAACTAGAAAACGCCCCTCACGACGTTCTATTGCATAAAATTAAAAAGTATGCTTTTTACTTCATATTGTAACTAAGCTGCAGTTGCGTCTCGAAGTTAGTGTTTGAAAGTTTCCATGCCAGAGTAGTGGCGCTAATCAAAATACGAGACATGCGCAGTGCCCTCCACGTGTATTGTTGTTTCACGGTTGATTCACCCGATTAAAAGCGTTCGCACAGAAAAAAGAAAAACCACAACATAGATAGAGCTTCAAGAAACTAAGATGTAAGTGTTCAGTCACAAAGAACAAACGCGTGCTTAAAGATAACAAGATATCTTTTTTTTCATAAAATCTACACGTGGCTATATTCGGGTCGTGACTCGTGAGAAAGAACGTATTCACAACTTTGTGCAAGGCCAGCTTGACACTCGAAATGTCGGAATAGACGATTTGGAAAGTGCAAGGAATGGTTAAATTGCACCCCCTCGTTCAGTGATATATTATTCATAAAACACTGGAAAGTAACGACAAAAGTAACGTCGTTACTTTCATCGTTACCTCAGAAAAAGGTAATAGAACTACAGTTACAAGTTACATTTTTAAAAAGTAACTCGTTACAGTTACAAGTTACCAAAAAAGTAACGAAGTTACAGTAACGCGTTACTAGTAACGCGTTACTACCCAAGACTGCCCTGTACTATCACAATTAATATGACCTGAAACCCTCAATCCAGCTTTTTTTTGTGTGTGTCCGCAGTCCCCACAAGCTTTATTAATTATATGTTTTAATCTTTCGGAGAACCTCAACTTCCCATTCCTTTCTTAGTTCGAAACACAGCTCTTCAAAACTGGCAGGTACGCCAAAAAAGCATGAAGTACCGTCTCAACTCGTATTCAGGGGCGGATTTAGAGGGGGGGGTCCGGGTGTCCTGACCCCCCTCTTGATTTCTGCATGTGTAAAATTTAGGACGTAAAATGTGGGAGAGGGGGAGTGGGTTTTTGAACAGATGGTACGCTGACCAACACCTGACCCCCCCTCAAGAAATTCCTGCATCCGCCCCTGCTCGTATTGAATGCGATGGCGCCTGAACCTGCGCTCAAATGTGCACAATCACAGTGGAGAGCTTAGCGCTGCTACCTGTGTCAGCCCGAATGGGTGGGCGACCCCCTCGATGAGCTTGTGCCTGTTCTTCCCGTTCAGGTCCGAGAACTCAATGCAGTCCAGCTGCGCGTCGACCCAGTACAGCCTTTCCGCCTCGTAGTCGATGGTGAGGCCGTTGGGCCAACCCAGCTCTGTGGCAATGATCACTCTCCGTGCACTGCCATCCATGAAGGAGCGCTCGATCTTGGGCAGCTTGCCCCAGTCCGACCAGAAGATGCACCTGGGGGAAGGCGGGGTCCGGTCGGTATACTTATGGTTCCTCGGTTTTGCTAGATCAAAATCAAATGCCTACCACAAATATTTACACAAAAATTGTCCAACTGCTTAAATGCCCATTCTCACAGATAAAATCTGTGATCAGCAATGCTTCAGACATGCTGAGACAACCAGAGTGTTTGTTATCATGGATTGATGTTCACCCATGTTCAAGCAAGCAGGCCCACTTGTGCATACACTCTTCCCTCGCTAATGCACGCATCTCTGTACTGTTCTAGCATTTTTCTATGAAGTTTGTGACGTTTCAAACGCTCCGACGACAAAAACCTGGCGATTTCTCACTGCTCCTCAACAGCGAAAACAGCTCAGGGCGTTGCCATTTTGCGTATCCTACTTAGTGTTGTGCAAATATTCGAAATTTCGAATAGTAGATTTGAATATTACATTATTCGGTATTTGTTTCAAAATTACTGCAATATTTGTATTTTTTAGAGTGTTCATCGCTGCGGGTTAGCAGCGTGGAGCGTGCTCCTTACTGAGCATGGGTGCACTGCAGAGAAGCAACACTTGTGGACAAGAGTTCCACATGTGTTGCTTCTCCACAGAGCACTGGTGCTTGGTAAGAAGCGCACTCAACAGGGTAACCCGCCACGATCAATGTTCGCACGATTCTAACGCGCCCCCGATATTAATGTGCAGGTATATTTAGCGTTCTAATATTCAGAAAATAACTTGATGCCAATTGTACCACCCAGGTAAAGAAAGGAAGGCTGAACAGATACCTCATTGAACAAGTTTTATGAAATGCACGCTAATACAAAAATAAATACCGCGCACTAGTCACCGTTGTCGGAGTTCGATGATGGTTCTTTGCTGTCCCCAAAGGAAATCCTTGCTTTCGTCTAAAGCATTTTAGGTGCCACGCTTCTTGCGCTTGTATGAGTGCACAACCGTCGCCTCTGGGAAGGTTGTCTCCGAAACAACTTTGCAAGCTCGTCGGGTCGCTGGGATTGCGTGGCCACGCGGTGCTGCTCGATTGTTAACCTTTTCAAAGTTCATATAATGCCTCCCGGTAGAAATTATTATTTCTACCAGTGATATGGTAACCAAAATGGCGAATATAAACAAACGGTCACGATCGCGATGGGGCTAGCCACCTTATACCGAGTATTGCATTTTTCTTTCTGAGTTTCTGTTTTTGGTATTGATTGTAACGCGCATGTATTTTTAAGCACCGATTTTCACACAAAAAAGTGTGCGGTACAATTGTGCAAACGCGGTACTTTAAAAAGCATGAATATCGAAGTTGCGTGCTTGGGAGAAAAGCACACCTTCAAAGCAGGATAGTGTATGCATGCACCTAATGTATTTCAAAAGGAACTGAACCTTTGTGAATGTTGATATCTACCATACGGTATTTTCTGTACAATAGTCCATACCCGGTGCATAGTCCGCAGGGGCAAATGTAAGGTAAAAAATAAAAGCTTTCGCTTAGATAGTCCATACCCGGTGTATAGTCCGCACTTAGTTCCTAATCCGAACATAAAAATAATCAGTGCACCTTGTCAAATGCCTGCTGTGTTAAATCACAAAGAAGCTTGTATCATACATAAATCAACATTAATATACTCCGTTATTCATAAAATCCTTCACGTCTTGTCACAGCGAACGATTTAGAAAAAAACAAGTCCTTGTATATTTTGCACCTGTAGATATTCCGCATCAGGTAAAATTTAAAGTTTTAAACATGTATTATTCATAGACTATAGTCCAGAAAATATGGTAGACTGCAGTAATATTTTCAAAATTAAACTGTGGCTGTTATGTTAGAGTATATATATGTTAGGCAAAAATGGCCTGATAAGCTGCATTCATCCTTTGTGATTCTTTTTTATTCAAATTCAAGACTGAAAAAAAGAATATTTGCGTATAGCAAGATCTCTAAATCTGCTCAATTTCTGTATTTACTCGCATAATGAACACACTTTCTTTTCCCGAAAAATCGACATTGTCTAAGCTCATTATAACAGATCTGGTTACAACAGACATTTGGTTATAACATACCGATTTGGGAAGTTCGGTTGGTTTCCCTCTACGCACCATTGACTCAACTTCATATCTTCATACAACATACTCCTTTTACAACAGACCGAAATCTTGGTTAAAATCAAGGTCTGTTATAACGAGCTCAGACTGTATTTGGGGGTGTGCGTTCATTACACGGGGTAAATTTTTGCATTTACACACTGTGCAAATGTCATTTTAGGTGCCAATATGATATGGCAAGGTACTGTGGCACGGTTCCACTGACGGAGGCACACCTATGACTGGTAGTGGGCACGCCACAGTAACCATGCTCTATAAATTTGCGAACCTTTTTTAGGGTGCTTTCGGCGTGCCTTTTGTTGGAGAAGAAGCGCCCTACAAAGCTCACTTAGCACGGAGAGCGACGCAACCGTTCTTAGGCCAAACCACTTTCACAATATCACTGTCCGAAAGCGAATCACAGATGACGGCATGTTTGCAGGCATCAATGCATCCGATGGACAATGCACGTCCAAGGCCTGGCAATTCCTCGACCCCAGCTTCGCTAGGCATGCACGCCGCTGTTTCACATTCTATCCCTTCCGCAACCACGCAATTGCAGCCATTACAAGAGCAGCTTGGCTTGGCTTGACTTGGCCTGGCCACTTGGCGGCAAAAGAAAATTGGCTTCAAGACTCGCGGAGCCAAAAATTAAAAGTGTGTTCATTACGCGAGAAAAAGAAAAAAGTCCAAATATTGATGCCCGTTGTGGGGGGTGCATTCCTTATGCGAGTAAATATGGTAGGTTTAATTCTATAGGTTTAATTTTATGTCAAATCTGTCTGACATCCAAAGGCAGTGGACTTTTTGAGTTCACAGTTCATAAATATAGTTAGATTATAAATCAGCTTATAAATGAACAAGTGGAAGCTTGGGAGCAATCTTCACGAGTCTAGCTGGGTTTTAGTTTAAGCATGGTGCAAAAGTAGCGAAGGGCTTGGAGAAACTATTCAATATTCTATTCAAAAATATTCGGCCAAAAAATCTAATCTCTTCGAACTCAAAATCAAATTTTCGCACATGACTAATTCTGCCATTTCCATTAGGAAATGGCAGAACCTATTGCACAATGTCAACATCTTCTCTAAAAATCTGTCTTCCCTGTGTAGAAGCTTAACATGCCTGTGGTGTTTGTTTTAGGAAATACTGTTAATTCGCTTACACTATTTTAAACTCCCTCGTACATGCCACCATCCATTTGCATGCATATCTGTTCTGGCCGACAAAAAGGATGTCCTGCAAGTCGTAACGCCTGATTCTTTGTACGCTTTCGAGTAGGTATGTGTGTGGGCTTTGTTCATTAAAATGTTGCCATATCTTCGAGCATAGGTATGGCACAAATGTCTTGCTGAAAGCTGGGCCACTTACCCTTTCTCAGGAAAAAGAGCCAGGGCCCTTGGCTCATCGAGGTCCAGGTTAATGAGAAGCTTTCGACTGGACCCGTTAGCCCGAGCCACTTCTATCGCCTAGAAAGAGAGTTGAAGTGAGTCAGGGCCTCTTCTGAGACACTTGGCCTAGATTCCCTGGCATCATAGCACTTAACATCTGGTTGTACCATCCTCAAATCAAACAGAAAGCAATCAAGAATATTGTGTACAATATGCTCATAAACTGCACAAAGCTATCATAGCTGCTGACTGAAGTTTTGGTACCTATATCCTCAAACAATGTTTTTAGGACAGCATTTTAGGCACCTGTAACGGGCAACAAAATACTTAAAAGCCCCCATTTATGCACTACCAAAAAAGGCACAAGATCTGCCTTGAGTAGACCAAGCATGTCACCTAGCTCTAGACCGGTAATGGCCAGATATGCATAGCACCGTCAGAGAACCATGCTGCAACTGTACCTTTCGTCCTGAATCGGTCCAGTAGATGTTCTTGGCTATCCAGTCTAGAGCCAAGCCATCTGCTGCTGCAAGCTCCTGGTCAATTACCACCTCCATGCTGCTTCCATTCAGATCAGCTCTCCTGGCAACAGGAAATCACATTGTGTCAGTGCATACCAAAAAGCCCCCATGAACCATTTATCCGAATTTTTCTGCATCACACGAATAAATAAAATAGCTTCCACGAAAGGCTAAAACACTACCAGAGGGTAAGTGCAATTACATGCTATACCAGATGGGAAACTGTCACACCATAGCATTACATAAGTCAATAGTTAGCCCTTCCTCTGCTCCCACTTTTTTCTATGACTGCTATGATTACACCGCGGGTATAGCTTCCCCTCAGTGCGCCGGTGTTTGGTGCATTCAATGAGGCAAACCAGTCAGCCAACACTTCCAAAGGTTATGAGTTTTAGAGCTTGCTTCAAAGCAAATATAAAATAACATATTATTTGAAACTCTGATTCGAATATTCGTGCCAACCCCCTAATTTACATAGGTTGGAGTAGCCTGAAACAAAGTGGCACACTGAGGTTGTGGTTAATGAAACTAGCTTTCATAGTTAAATGTCAGTAAGCTTTCTTTTTTTTTTCTTTCCAACATGCTGTTCAGCAACAGATAACCCTCATGGTAAGGCCTCCCCATGACACACTACTATACAACAGCATGTTTAAAAAGAAGCCTGTTCAGGCCTTATCATAGCACTGGTGCCATCTTCAGAAAATATAAAGGGTATACCCCTTATATTTTCTAGCACTGCTTTAAAGCAGCGCTAGTTTGCTGTCACTGCATAAGTGGCAAAATGTTACACGTCACATGGGAGATATAAATCAGGCAATTACCGGATGACATCTAAAGTAACATCTGTGTAATACAGCTTCCACTCATCGAAGTGAAAATCAACCGCCACAGCATTGTAGATGTCGTTCAATGGTAGATGAATATCCGTGTTATCCGGCGTGTCAACCGAGATCTCACGAAGACTTCCTCTATTTGCAAACAGCAGAAATGCTGAAGGGGCTGCAGGAACAAAGAAAAAAAAAAAAACCTTAGTTGTAATACAGACTTCAGAATTAAGCATCCGAAAACAGGTGAACTATATTTAAGCAAAGACTCTCGGAGAGGACAAACGTACACTGCCCCGACAATGTTAACAAAAACACAATATCAAATCCTATACTACTCTCTTACTGTCAAGATCGGTTATAGCGAAGTCGGTTGTAACAAAATTGCGGCTACAGCGAAGCAATCACGATTTCCCATTCCTGTTTGCACTTTTTCAATGCATATGTGCCTCTTTTTAGCGAAGGAAATCAAGCAAAAAGAAATTTTGTGTTAATTGAAAAATAAATAATAAAATTGGGAAAGTTTACTGTCTTGGACCACTGCACTTTGCTGCCGCAGCCAAAAAGCCACCCAGAACAGGCTGCAGAAGATGCTGGAAAGGTCGCCGGCGGCAGTCTCTGCAACGTCATCTGCTGCCCACTCGTTATGTGGGAAGTTGTTTTACCGCATCACACGCGGAGAAGCGGTTGTGCATGCCGATAAGGGCGTTCAAAGTGCTAGCGACAATTTACCGGGAGAACCTAGATTTAAGAGAGGGAGCAGCGAGAATGTCTGCATTTGATTGTCGCATGGCCAGTGTGGCGACGAAACTGGGCGGAGAGGCGGACAAGTTTGCAGAAGGTGAACACTTTGGATTTTGACTCTTTGTATGCTGCAGCTCGTTTTGCAAACGTGGCCCACAAACCACGTGACCCCACTTGAGCAGTTGCCCCATCTCTTAAATCTAGGCTCTCTATACCAACGACAAACAAGCTCGAGCGCGAACTCGGTGCCATGCGCGCTTCTTTGTTTGCTTCATGACGTGTGTCGGCGTTTGGTCAGGAAGGTCGCTCTTGTGCGAAAGTCTACTTCGCTCAAGCACCGATTCGGCGAACCGTCGTCACTCAACAATGCCGTCCACCGCTGGCGTCCTCCGTGGGGCTGTCGCAGCTGTCGACATGCTTCGCACGTAGCAGGATCTTTTTTCGATCAGAGCTTCTCGCAGTTGGCGAGAAGCGGCTCCAATCTAGCAGAGGACGCGTACAGGCAAGCCTCGACCTCTTTCTGCAGGCCCGTGACATCCCATATTATCTTTTACAGCGAAGCTGTTAAGGGCTAGTTTCCCCAGGATCGTGTCCACCAGCAAATAAATGTCGACACAACACTCCGGACAGCTACCACTATCTATAAGCGATGGCGGCAACCAGACAACTGGCAAGCCCAACCCAACCAGCCAGACAACTGGCAAGACAGTTGTCTGGTGGCCACCATCGCTCATAGATACTGGTAGTTGTCCACTATCTATGAGCGGTGGCACCAACCCAACCAAACAACCGGCTTGCCGGTTGTCTGGTTGCCGCCGTTGCTCATAGATGGCGGCAACCTTTCCAGCCTTTCCACTCAGGCTTGCCAACTTGCGGCCAGCCATTACTTCATCCTTACCATGTACCTATACAGCTTTGCTGGTCTTGCTTCTTCACCAAAGTAAAAAGGCTAAAAGTTTTTTTTTTCCTGTTATTTTATGAGTTTATACATAACGATGAAGCGGATATAGAGAAGCGATTTCCGATTCCCGTTGGCTTCGTTATAACCGGTCTCGACAGTACTACTGGTTTTTTGGATGCAGGTTATGATCACATGAACTGTCCTATTGGTTTAGACAAACTCCACTGTAGTCTCTGCTTTTCTTGTACAGGTCTGTCAAATTTTAACATCAACTGAATGTAGAGAAACTAGCTCAGATTGGCTATAGTGCAATCTCTAGGGAACTTGGATTAGCTTTAACAAAAAAAGCAATGCATAGATAAAAATGCTTAGCAAGCTTTAAACAATAGACTTCAAAGCTTATCTGACGAGAGTGTCCTAAACTCGTAAGCACGGTGCGCAGGATAAATATACCTCACTGGGTAATACGGCCAAAAACACGCACAATATGAAGAAAGATCTGGAAAGGACGCTACATACTGTCCAGATCTTCCTTCGCATTGTCTGTGTTTTTTGGCGTATTATCCAGTGATGAGTAACCAACTAGCCCAACTTGCCACCTTAATTAAATGTACCTCGTTCACATGTTCTGGTGTCGGGCTTCAGAAGTACACCAGTCGGGCAGGCGCATGAAAAACCATGTGGCTTCCGCAAACACAGATGACTACATCCTCCGTTGTTGCGACCACAAGCACTGGCACCTAGACAGAGACATACTTGAGTAAGCCTTAATGCCAAGGAGCCTATACGACAAGAACATAGCACTGCGACTCATCCTTTTATGTTAATCCAAGCAAACTAGCATATCACCTCTACAAACCTCTATGAATCCCTGTCAACGTTCACTCACGTGCCTGGTGTAAGGATCAAGAGCATCAACTTTTTCACCGGCAATGATCCAGTTACTGGTCACCATCTAACTTTGTTACAGCCTTTCCGTTCAGACGAAGCTCTCGTCTTGATTAAAAATTAATTTAGGCAGACTGATTTTTTACTAAGCTCGTTCTAGTTGCTTCAACACTGTCTGGATGTCCTCAAAGCCTGAAGTTCTCTTTTCCGCACGGAACGTGGAGGCCCAATCCTTATGATTTAAGGAAGATTGATTATTAAGATGTCCGGTCATCATTTGTAATCAAGAGCATAATGTTCCCACGCTCAGAATCATAAAACAGATTCAATTTAATACTAATATTATTCGGTGGGAGTTGGTACCACAAGGGCACCACCGTATTTGGTGCCCCAGTAGACTTCAAATGGTGTGTTTATTTATTTTTCAGCAACACACAGCGATCGTGTAAGAATATTTTCCTCCTGAGAAGTATCTGTAATACATTTGTAAGAACCTGTGCTGTGTAGAACGCAGTACAAATAACAAAAGGATGTGAGACAAAAGGAAAGAGGAAGATCAAAAGCGCACAGGGGTCCGCCGATAGCGGGTGGCAACGAGCTTGTTTGCAAACAAACATCTGTGAATGCAGCCGACTCTCGGTAATTCAAAGTCGTTTTATTAGAATTCTTGCTTAGTTTGAAGCAGGGGTGCAGTCACGGTAATTATACATTCAAGTTTATGGAAAAAAAAACGCATCTACCAAATTTAGCATCGCAAGGGCAGCTTACCGGCATACTCTGTGTCAATGGCACGAAGATCCATGAGCCCAGCCAGGTTTCCGCGTATTATGTGACCATCGTGGCCATTCAGGCGTGACTGATGAATGGCCCTCGTCTCCCAGTCGGTCCAGTAAAGGTTGCCGGAAAAGGCGGCAACACCATAAGGATGTGCTATGTCTCGAACCAGGACCCTACGATTCTTCCCGTCCAAGCCGACACTCTCAATGACCTGAAAACAGTGAAGAGACGTTCCCTATACTGGCAGCCTCCCAAAGAGTGTTTATCCGGCGACAACTTGCAGTACAACACTATCCAAAGTTTTGTTTAGCAATCAATTTAAAACACCAGGTAAGCATAAGAACTTTGACACTAGGTTTTGCTTGTGGCTTCGTGGATGGCATTGGAGGCAACATGGCAGCGTACTCGTCTGCTTCATTCTATCATGTAGTGATGTTAGATGTTCATAATACTCTTCATTTCTAGAATACAGTTATTTAAGCCCATTTAGACGTAATATAACGGCAAGTTTTTTAATTTGCTAATTTTTCTAACAGCTCTATTACTCGGACGTTTTTTCGGTCCCGCGCAGTCTGAAAAATTGGACGGCAGCTGTTTAGCAATTGATGGCAGGAATGACAGTTGACTGAGTTGAATGCTTGGATTACTGCCATAACAGATGGTGACACTTGTGAGGCTCACATGTGGCCCTTCAACGAAAAAGCGAAAAACAGCTGAAAAGTTATACCAAAACGCCAGCACATGACCCTTCAGACAACTGTCAAGCTCACAGTGCTATGGTGCGACGTCTATGTTTTTTGTAACAAAGTACACGTGTGCAGCATCACACTACCGTGATTGCCTGGTATCGACCAGAAGTCGGATTGGCTTTTGTGGTTTCTGACATTTTCTTTCTGTCCAGAAAAACACAGTGAAAGTTTTTCCACATTCTTTTCTGTGATGCTATGTTCTCGCTCAGAGCTTATCAAGAAAGTGGTCTCAGTGACCTCCATAAATTTTTAAGGACACCAGAGAAGGGTGTTTTTCACAAATCTGATGATGTGCAGCTGGTCACCAAACTTGCCCAGAACATGTGAATGGCATCTTATCTCATGGGAGCGTCATCCTGGCGGCGGCCAAAGGACTATTCCATGACGTAGCATTCAGTGGAACGACCCAAGCACGGAAGGCTGCTCGCTGGACCGTGGACATTGCAGCTATTTTACCGGCCAGCCAATCTATACTTTGCTCCACTTTTTTGTGTGAAGATGCATAGGTGATTGCCAAAACAGTCAGTGATTTTACGATTAAATCAGCAAGCATTCAACAATGCGGCCGAACCGAGCAAAAAGCATAGGTCGCCTCGCAGGCGAAATTCCTGCATTGTGCCCAGTCCAACAGAGACCTTGGCCTTGAGCCAGCGGTCTCCACTGCTCGGACTGCTCCACTGAGTGCTACAGCTCTTCGACTGCCACCAGGACAGCACTTCCATGATACCAGATGCCATTCACCTGTTCTGGATAAGTTTGGTATGCACTGAACTTAGCAGAACAAAGATATAATGCTCCACTTCCAACGATTGCAGAATTTTCTAGAGACAATTACTACATCACTGAAGGCAAGCCAGCGTGTCGCTCACTCACGTCTTGCTTGGCGTCCGCCCAAATGAGCCGCGAGCCCTGCTTGTCAATGGCGAGTCCGTGGGGCCAGCCCAGTCCGTCGTGGACCAGGTTCATCCGGTTGTCTCCGTCCATGTCGGCAGTTTCAATCCGTATCTTGTTTCCCCAGTCTGTCCAGAACATGACCCTACAAGTAATCAAAGTGTTCACTGTTAACTGTCTGGCAACAAAGAGTGCTGGCTTTGTCAAGATGGACAATACCGGAAAATCAAAGCATTATGCTAGCCATCCTATAGTTAAGGGGTTCTCAAAATTTTCAACCACGATGAACTCTTTTGCTTATCGATTAAAAGCCAAGGAATCGCTTCCAGTCACAGCACAACCTTTCTTGATTGTCAGGCTCCGATGGGTCTTGCTTACATAAAAATCCAGCCACGCATAAATGTCTTGTCGGCAGTCCACTGAAGTCGGCACTATCGAAAGTAGAAGTTGTCAATGGCACAAGAGGACGCGAGGACAACTTGCTTCTGTTTACATGCTTGTCACGGGAGAACTTGAGTATGTCTGTTTGACAATGACTTCCGACATCATTTAACGACGAATAAGAGAGGTCTGATCAGTTGCATTACAAGAGGGGAACTGGATGGATGTTAACTCCAGCGTGTTATGCATCGCCTTAGGCATCTATATACAGGGCGCTTCTTTTAGGCTTAACAGATTTGTTTCAAAAAAGCTGTGAAAGCTACACTAATGTGGTTTGTGCAGTTGAGTTATACAGCCAGGGGGACATAGTATAGGGGGCTAATCGTAACGATCAGTCGGCTAATTAACTAAAATATGTTTATTAATGTTTCAATTATTGAAAATAAACATACGGTTAAAATTAGAAACTTGCCAAGAGTCATCGAAAACCACAAATCCCATAGAAAGACCAGGAGCACAAGGGAGCCTGGTGGAGCACTAGAGTTACCACTCATGCAGTAAGAGCAAGGCTACGAGTGCGGTAACGCGCCTGCGCAGTTCTAGAACGCAGCTCTTAGGCGCCCGTTCCCAAATGTAGTGGCGTCAGCGTCAGCATAACTGCTATATGCGGGAACGGGTGCTTAAGAGTCCTATAATGCAACACAGCGCGTGTTGCATTATGGGACATCACAGACCTACGAATAAAATCCAGTTATAACAATACCTTATATAATAATGTATTGCTTATAATGATGAATTTCTAGAATTTCTAGACTAGAAATGATCAGTTTTTTGTCTAGATACAGCGATATTCGGTTGGAATCGCAATACCGGATGACTGGTTAATAGCAAGAGTTGTACCAGTTAAAAAAGGTGGTAAAAGGGACTCATTCAATAATTATCGCCCCATTCCTTGGACTTGTACGTCGTGTAAATTACTGGAGCGTATTGTAAACAAACAGTTATTATCTTTTCTTGATGGATATGGTATACTGCAAACGACTTAGTTTTCACGAGCTCAATATTTCGCGATTTAGGTCAAAGCTGAAATTTCGGAATAATTCGCGGGTTCTAATTTTCACGACGCGGGGAATCTCAGTATAGAATCCAAATTGTTCACATTTTACCGGAATTGTTCGCAGGACCTATTTTTCGCAAATTGAAGGCAATTAGAGAAATTCGCAAAAATTAAGTTGTTTACAGTACTAAGGCAAATCAACATGGTTTCCATAGAGGGTTATCTACAACAACAACTAGTTGAATGTCAGCGTGAAATATCCCGTCATGTAAATGATCATTTAAAAGTGGACGCCATATTTATTGATCTGTCAAAAGTGTTTGATCGCGCACCTCATCACAAGTTAATTAATGTACTTATTGACCTTGGTGTGCCTTCATTTTTCATAAAATGGATAAGGCCTATCTTACAAATCAGCAGCAGTTCGTAAATATCAGTTGCACATTTTCCAATTTGTCAAGCATTTATTCTGGGGTTCCACTAGGCTCTGTGTTGGGCCCATTGCTTTTTCTAATATATGTCAACAGCTTGTTTTATATCAACAGTGACAGACCAGTAAAAATAAGAATGTTTGCTGATGACTGTGTAACATGAACTCCTATAACCACTGTGGACGACCATATTGAACTAAATATTACCTTATCCGGTATTTTGACATGGTGCAGCTAAAATAACATGAAAATATATACCAGGAAAACTCAATACATGCATATTACAACAAAAAAGAATACATTATGTATGAGCTTGATGCTGTTTGTTAAGCTTTCGAAGTTGATAGCTACAAGTACTTGGGTGTGATTATCACAAGCGATTTAAGATGGATCCAACATGTGGACTATTATATAAAAACAAGGTAACAAAAAAATCTTTGGTATCTACAAACAAGGTTGCTTAGGACACTTTCTTCGGTTAAGACTCTTGCGCATAAAGCTATAGTAAGACCGACCCTAGAGTATGCATCCGAAGTCTGGGATCCCTTGCAGGTCACACCACTGATCTCTTCTATAGGGGGCAGGATGGCGCATTGAGCAGAAATGCTTGAAGCCACTGGAAGTAAGCGGCTTGTTCCGGAAGTGAGTGCTTGACAGGCTTTTCAACTCTTCCAAGTGCTGGTTCAAACAGCATTTAGGGCACTGTGTTTTTTCTTGTCATCCCAAGAGAGCCTGCTTGTTGCGGCGTACAGTGAAACCCGTTTAGAATGAACCCACGTACAGCGAATTATTGCCGATATCGAACTCACGAAAAATTTAAATAAAAAAGCATGTAAAAAGTACTTTTTATAACGAACAACATATTGGCCATATCAAGCTTTTTCCACCCGCGAAGGCTTCCAAAAACGCGCAAGCAATCGTTTTCTAGCCTGTCCCCTTCCGCGAAAAAAAGTGGGAAAGAAAGAAAATTCCAAAAGCTCAAGTTGCGAACAAATTTGAGCGAAGAGAAGCGATTCAGAAGGGGAGAAGGTTAAGAAATACACTCTGCGTGCACGCACAAAAAAAATAATAAAACTTTTCATCCCAAAATTGTTGCCCACAAACAGAAGCGATTCAGAAGGGGAGATAAGCTAAAATACAAACTCTGCAAGCATGCAAAAAAAAAAAAATAGAAGCTTTCCAGCATGTTGTTACAAGGCGGAAGCAGCAAGATGAGGAAGAAAGAGAAGCTCTCGCCTTACAACAAACGCATCATGGAAGTTCGTTGTAAATGGTTTTTGCTATAGGGCAGGAGATTGAACCATAGGGGGTGCTCTAACCCCTTTATTGTCCCCACCCTCGGTGTTTACTCAACACAAGGCCGGCGCCCATGCCAGCAGGCCTTATAGGCATGTCCATGTCATCTTCTACAATAGAGCGCAGGGCACAGTTTAATGTAAAAAGTACTAACAATCAACGAAGCAACGTTAAGTGCCGGATCTATCCTCAAAGAATGCGAGCTTGATCCCCTCGGCTTTTGTGCGGAGCTGGGACCGTGCATGCTGCATTGTTCATGCAGGCCAGAGTGAAAACAAAAAAGCCCCTCCTCCCCCTCACCGGAGAACACGAACTCCAGCCGAACGCTGACGCCGCGTTCGGTTATGTCGGCCGGGTGCTGAATCATTGTATTTGTTGTCCCCATCCGTGTAGTTCTAAAGTTAACCGCTTGGGGCGTCACGGTCTGTCCTCCTACCCAATATCGAATTACTTGCTATATCGAACTGATTGTAGTGTTTCCTGCTGTTCGTTATAAAGGGGTTTGACTGTAACAGTGCAAGCGGACCCGAGAAGTCTTTTGGGAAACCATTTGATGTGAAAATTTTGAGAGTCTAGTTTATCAAGTGTGCGTATGTCACACGTTCAAATGCCGTATTCTCGGGATTTAATCCAGAACGGGAGTATTATAACCCAATCAAAGACACAAAAAAGCATGGACCAAAATATCGACTGAATGCAATAGGAAGCCCAGCGCACGCCCCACTTCCGGGACAAGCATCGAACTTCGGTGGCTTCACTTGCGCCAGGCTCGGAGAGCAGCTAAGCGCCATCCAGGCCCCTATAGTGGAGATCAGTGGGTAACACTCTCAAGGGAGCTTGAAAACTTGCAGTCACTGCCAGTGAGCTCAATCTTTTTAGACTTTAGGAATACTATGCCTGTCATGGCGCTGAAACGACAGGCAGGTTTGCAGCCGCTAAAAGCCCAAAGAATGTTCCAGCGCCTGAAATTGTTTCTTGAAATATATAATAACCTTGTTAAAATTGATAGGCCCAAATATGTGAAGCCCAAAAGCGACCGGCTAGATCGCACAAATCACCCAAAAGTTTTAACCACCATTGATGCCCGTGTAAATATTTTATGCAGACATTTTTTGTTCAGGCAGCAGAGTTGTGGAATAAACTTCCTGATAGTTTTTTTGCAGTGGAATCCCTTTCTGAATTCGAAAGTGCCATACGTGTATTGTTTGAACTGTAACAGTGTGACGCTTCTTGAGCGTGTAAGTGTGAGTGCATATTTTTAGGGTGCGGTTCTTAAAGAGTGCTCTGAATGTTGATATTTGAAAGCAGTGTTGTATTTGACTTCCACGTTTGTATCACCCCCTCCTGCCTTGGCCCTTGACAGGGCTGGCAGTATTGTGAAATAATAACAATGATGAAATTTTCGGGTTTTCACACTATCATTACAAGGATTCCACTGTAGACCAATAGACCATTTGCTATATTCCCCAAGTGCCTCGGCCTGCACTAAAAGAATCATGGGAACGGTGTTCCTCCAGCTCCTTAGTCATCGGTAATTTCGACCCTATCCTTGATTACACAGGTTTTGAGCGTAATTCGGAGTCACCCTGAACAAGCGCCTGATATAGGTATCCCAGTGACCCGTCATATCACTTAAAATTTCTCCTCAATGTCAGCGTTTTTGATACTGTGCATGCTGTCCACCCTTCAACCTGGATGGGCTGTAAAAGTCTCTTACATTATTATCATGCTGATATTAAGTTAGAAACGCTAAAAAGGCTATAAACAGCCCCGCAGACTCCGAGCTAAATACTGGTTTTTGCTATTGTGAATTATCGGCTTTTTAAGCAATTCCTGCTCAAACAACAATCACGAGAATGATAATATTGTAACAGATTTCTGCAGCTCAGGCCAGGTTGAAGGGTGGATCGCATGCACAGAATCAAAAAGGCTGACGTTGACGAGCAATCTTAAAAGTGATATAACATGTCCTTGGGGTATATTAGGCGCTTGTTCAGGGTGACTCCGGATTACGCTCAAAATCTGTGTAACCGTGGAGTTAGTCGAAAATTGGCGATCACTAAGGAGCTGAAGCAACACCGTTCCCATGATTCCTTTAGAGCGGGCCGGGGCGCTTGGGAATGCTGCAAATGGTCTATTCAATTCCCGGCTAGATATAGCATAGAAACTGAATATGTGTGCAGGTCTGCGACGTCCTGTAATGCTAGACTGTGCACGTTGCATTATGGGGCCACCACCCGTACCCTCCTCGTCCTCTTTCACCTACCCTCAAACCAAAACAAAAAAAAATCTAAATATCAATATATATATTTTCTCTCTCAAATTCTTTACCACAGTATATTGCAAAATTGAAATACCTCAAGAGCTGCGCTCTAATTTCGCGATACAAAGAAGCGTAAACATGTTTAAATATTTTTTCATCTCTTATCATAGTTTTAGCTTTGTGCCTATTGCACGAGTACATAGTAACTTTAGCACAATACTGTACGTCCCACGTGCTCAGTCTTTCTAGAAATTACTCATTAAGTGGTTTTCAATGACGCTCAGCAAGTTTCTATAACTATATGCCTAATTTCACTAATTAAAAAGTTAATAAAACTATAACTATATGCCTAATTTCACTAATTAAAAAGTTAATAAAATTTTAGTTAATAATTCAACTTATTAAGACAAATAGCCCCCTATATTATGTCTCCCTGGCCGTATCCTTCACCTGCACAAACCACATTAATGTAGCTTTCAGGGTTTGTATTTTAACAATTCTGCTAAGCTTAAAAAGAAATGCCTTGTATATGCAAGTCATGGTGGCTTGGCACCAGGTTGCCGCGTAAGGCGGTTACAGCCTTTAGATGTCACACCATGGCCAAATCAGCCAATGCTGCAACACTGATAATCACCACTCTTACGTTGATAACTGTCTCACTTGGGAAACGCCTAAGAAAGAAGTCCAAGGTTTGACTGGATGACAATAACTTCTTTAACGCATAAAGGTGAAGCATTCACTGAGCAGCACAACGAGCAAATCACAAGTTCATTCTGTGTTTATACTGTTCAGTATAGTATAAACTATGCCTAAACTATCTATAAGTTTTATACTTTTCTTGAGCCATCACACCATGTGAAGACACACCAGTAGTATTACCATAAACAGCATAAATAGACATTGAAGCAAGTAACTTAAGTAAGTGCAAAGTAATTTGGCACTTATACCATCTTCCAGGACAAAAAAATGAGCCAGATCTCACCCCTTCTCATAGTGCAGAGCAATCGCTCTGGGACTGTCGACATCCTTCCAGAAGAGAACATGCCGGTTCCGGCCATCGAGCTCCGAGACTTCAATGAGACTCCTGTCGGAGTCCGACCAGTACAACTTGCGGCCGACAGAATCCACGGCAAGACCTCCCAGAGTGTCCAGCCCAAACGAGATCACGTCCCTGACGTGCCGTCCCTCAGTATCACAGCTTTGGACAACATGCCGATCTGCATCAGCATAGTAGATCTCCTCTGGAAGGGCAGAATAAGGAACAACAATGGAAAGACTAAAAATAAACGTCATATTGTTGCAGATGGAAGTCTCGACGAGCGTAAAAACTGAAAATAAAGGTTTAATCGACGAACTTGTGCCCGAAACAAAAGTAAAAGTGAGCGTCAGAACAGCAGCAGCAAATGTCACGGCGTCGGCACGGGAGCTGGCTGGAGCGAGACTGTGAGAGAGAGTCAGCAAGGCCATGCTTGGCTCCTTAACTACTACACTCGGTATCTCAAATGTTCGACCCAGAATCACTCTATCTCATAATGATGAGATAGAGTGCTCTATCATATCTCTACGTTTTTCCTCCCTTGTCTTTGCGCTAGTTTTACCAAAATGTATAGCCAACTAGCCCACCAGATACCTAATTTTATTACAGCCCCTTATTGGACTAGGATGAGTCTGCAGTAATACTAAATAAATAATAGAAATATTATATGCTTCCATTGTGACAGGAAGTTACACGAAAAGGTTTGATCGATTGGGTATCATATGCCCGAAAAACATGCTGATCATTTCATAATTTTTGTCAAGGCCCTCTGTTTTCAAAGGCTTGGCCCAACAATTAGGTACGTTGAAATGTACTGCCTTAAATGAGGAATCTGTGCTTTGACTTAGTCAATGAGCTCACATGCACTTGAAAGAGCTGATAAAAATGATAAAGAAGCACATCTATTCATTTAAATCTGCGATATTAAAACCAGTGTGCATAGGTAGTAGTATACAATGTAGTGGTGAAAAACTATCGATACTACTATCGACAGTAAAATAACTATAGATAGTACTATAGATAGTCGACGATCGAAAAACTATTGATAGTACTATCGAAAAACTACTGATAGTACTATCGATAATCTACTATCGAAAAGCTATGGATGGTACTATCGATAGTCAACTATCAGAAAATGATTGTTAATCGACTACGATAGTCGACTACTCAAACCTATCGATAATAGACTATCGTAAACCTATCGATAGTACTGTCGACAGTTTACTATCGATAGTTCGGCGACACTAGTAGTTTGTGTCGCACCCTCTTCTCTTTTTATCACTTTATTTTTTCAAATGGGACACCAACTAGCCCAAGCACTTACCATACCAACTTTGGTTCAGCCTTTAGTGATGATGAAGACGGGAGTTGGGCAAAGTGAGGAGGAAGGGAGGCGAGCGGCGGTTCGGCAACTGGTGTTCGTTCTAGTAATGCAAAACTCGATAGTACTATCGACAGTCGATTGTCGAAAAACTATCGATGGTACTATCGATAGTCGACTATCAACAAGCTATCAATAGTACTATTGATAGTCTAGTATCAATAGTCCTGCGACACTATCGATAGTTTTGGAAAAACTATCGATAGTCAATTTATCGATAGTTTTGCATCACTATACGTCTTCTATTGGTTGACCACACATTCTGCAATTGTGACACTTCTAGATATTGTAAATCAAAAGAACCAATGTATACATGTGCGCAATGGCTAGAGTCCTAGTACTCTACCAGCTACACTCTTAACATATACTCATCCACTTTGATCCAGGTAGTTTATGGGTGTCACAACTTAGGACTACAACTGGGTCCCTTTTGAATTTTTAAACAAGATGGCAATTATGACTAAAATGCACTGACCAAAAAAGAAGTGACGTAAAAGGCATCTTTACAGTCATATCTAGATGGCATGCAGCCAAGCCAATTCATTAATACTATAGCGAAAGCGCTTGACTTTCACCATTCATAAAAGGACTCCTATTAGCATTTCTGCCGACACCTCCGTCCAACAAAAACACATGAAACCCAGTGGCGACACGGACCGCAAAAAACCCGTCAACTCTGCAGAGACATTAAAGCTCACCCCTATCCATACAAGAGATGACGGGAGAACCATACCAACCATCAACAGAGTCAACGTCGAGAGCCACAACATTACGGAGCTTCTTGAGCGGCACCACAACATCTGCCCAGTAAGGCACGTCTAGCGACATTTTCCGTATTTCCGTTCTACGAGAGAAGAGAAGGAAACGTCTCATTCCTGAAAATAATGGGGAAGAGGGCTGGGTTACAAGCATGTATGGCTGAGCTGCTAAATAGTGGAGCAAGGAGTCGGCGACAGGCACGGCGACAAGAAGTTTGGCAAGGGGGACGTACCTTTTGAGCATGTTTTTGTGTCATTGAGGAGTATAGTCCCAGTAGGACAGGCACATACAGACTTCTTTGGCTTGGGAGCGATAAGGCACAGGTGGCTGCACCCTCCGTTATTTGATGCACAAGGATTGGGCACTGGAAAACGAAATAAACAGCAGGGCATGCAGCCTTTGCAAGCTCTGCCTCAACCTGCACGAAGACGACAGCAATAAACAGAAAACGTTGAAATCTGTTTCAATTTCCGTCATGCCGGGGGAACTTGATTTGCGCTGAATCGGATGCGTGCGGCATGCTGACGTCTCGCGCTTCTATGCGACGATCAGTCTTGTTGGAACACTCGAGACACTTTTGGTACGTCAATCTAAAATGGGCGACCCATGCTACAGTGCTAAACATAGTAAAATGGTTCACAACTTGTTGTGAGAGCAATTTTGCGCTCACTCTCTCGAAGCCACGTGCTGTAAACATGGAGCTCGAGAGTATCACCTAAAGGCCTGCTTCGATGAAAGACGTGGATGTTCATGAGGCCGTCGAGCCCCGCAATGATGGACCTCCGGTTCTCTCCTGTCATGGAGTCGGCGGACTGGATGGCCTTCTTGTCCCAGTCCGTCCAGTAGACGCGGCCCTCAAAAATGGTCAGTCCAAACGGATGTGGCAGTTCGTGGGAGAGCAACACCTGAAAGCAAAAGAGATAGTGTTCCTTGAGAAACATGTGGCACTGAAGTTCTCAGACTTCCTAATCTCGAGGGACCCCTATCTGCCTCAAATGGAAGTCTAGAACCTCCTTTTAGTCTTGACACCAATCCAATAAAGGAGTGCATAAGATTACAGATCACGTAAACAATAAGGCAGACATTCGAAAGTGTTAGGTTGATAGTCGTGCATCGACGAGTGGCCTGCCATGGTAGCGCTGGGAAAAATGATGTGCTTAGGAAAGGGACAATTGAGGAAATTTGGGACGTCAGGGAACCGGTGAAGGCGCTTTCGGAGAATCTCTGGGTTCCTAGGAACCTAGTTTGAAAACACGTGGTAAAGTATAAACAAAAAGACGAAACAGTGTCAAAGCTGGAAGGAAGAACTTGGAAAGGCCCGAAAAAGCTAAGCCTCCCAGCAACACATTGGCTGCAACTTCCAAGCTTTCCGGAGATCCCTTTCCAAGTACTGTGGTACATAGGGAGTTAGAAACTGACCTTACATTGCATAGACACCATTAAAAGAACAAAGATCAAATTTGCAGGCTGAACAGTAGAAACTCAACCGGCAATTCGTGAAGCTATATTTATGCTGCACAATTCGATGCCTCGAGGAAAGACACTGAAATGTGTGGAGAATGACATGGTTAGGTAAAAAAATGTCATCATCGGATATTGTTAACTTCTCTTAAATGGCCCAAAGCTAGATATAAAGAAATTGGCATGACATGCACATGCATAACCGAATTGTGGGTGGTGAAATACACTTTTCAACACTAATCGGTGCGAGCTAAACTGACAAAGCACCGACGTCACGTTTATTTGGTGAACTGTGTGATGCAGTGCTAGAACATCTTACGAAAAAATCTGGATTACGTCAGCGATTGTGCAAGTTAGAATTTACCAAGGGGCCACTTGCCTTTCGTCTCATTGTTGCAAGGTTGATAAGCTCGATGGTTTTGGTGGCTGCATCGGTCCAGTAAAGCGTCTCGGTGTCATAATCCATGGCTAGGGCATTGGGCCATGTCAGGTTGTATTGGACAATGATGCTGCGATGTTGGCCTGCCATTGTTGCTCGCTCAATCTTGGGCAGGTCACCCCAGTCTGTCCAGTACATGTAACTGAGAAAGCATTTAAAAAATACTGTAACCTTGAAATATTTCAATCTTGAATGATTAGGACCGAGTTAATGAACAAATTTCTGTCACTCACACTCTCTTAAGATACCCTTTTCAAAATCTCACCAACCAGCATTGGCGAGCGCCATTTCTTGGGCACGAAACATCTGATTACATCAGAGTCTTAACCAAACGCTGTACTTGTTTTCAATATGAGCCGAGCAGAGTTCACACCGAACGCTGAAGCAGCCCTCGTGTCCAATACGTGATCAGAGGATGTGCCAAAACAATGCCAGACTCTAATACTTGACTCAATAGCTGTGGCACAGACGTTTGAAAGGGTCTACTGCATGTTAAAAATCAGTCCTTGCATCAGTCTTACCCTCGAATAGGGTCAACAACAATTCCTCGTGGCTTGTCTAGACCGTCGTAGATCATGATGGCCCTCAGGCTTCCATCCACATTGGCCACTTCTATTCTGTCATTGGCCGCATCCGTCCAGTACAGCTTCTGGTTCACCCAATCGAGCGCAAGACCAGCTGCACTCTCTGCATTTGTGCCAATCACAACCTGCCAATGAAATTGTGTAATTGTGTAGAATGTTAGCTCTCTTTGGGACAGAGGTAAATATGGATAGACACAAAATCATACCAATATTGCATCAATCATTGGTGCAAATAGATCATACTGTCAAGAGCTTGCCAGTGACTATTTCAGGTTTAGCTTCTGACAATAATTTTAAGGAAAAATAGCCAAAGCAATCTGCTGAGGAACAAAATTCCATTAAGTAAACAATTAAACTTTATTTGCTCTATAACTTTTGTAGTTTTTGTTATGACAGCTTTCACTGTCACAAAAAACGCAAAATAATGTACACAAATTATGTCCATTTATTGTAAAGATTCAAGACCATTGCATGCAGATAGAAATAAAAATTAATTTTCAAGCTAACGGGTTTGTTGCAAGTCAATCAGTTTGTTGCAAGTTAAGGACTGCAGGAGGAGCTGGTTCCACAAACCCTCCTCACCACTTCCAGCTTTTTTATACACTTTGGCACGAAAGAAAATGAAAACAAAAGCAGCTTTTGGGAATCCACCAACAGTCGCTTTGTCGTTATTGTAAGTCATCATTTGTACTGAAGCTTGTACAAGGAAGTCTAGTTCATCCTTCCCATCCATTTACTGAGGATGTTTCGTTGGAGGGACTTCTCCTGAATTCCTTAACCTGCAACAAACTATAGCTACTTCACTATCTATCGCACTTGCAGGGTCCATAATTGTTTGTCACAGAAGTACCATAGGGCTTACATACCTCTTGGTTCTCGCCACTCCACTTGGCCTTTTGAATGGAATGGTGCGTGACATCCGTCCAGAAAATGGAGTCCGTGGTGGAGTCCCAGTCCAGAGCCACAGCACTGGTGGCATTTCGGAGCGGGATGGCGACATCCATGTCCTCCGAGCAGTTGAGGCACAGACGCCGGATGTCGCCACGATGGGTGAACAGCAGAAAGGTGTCCGGCTCTGAACAGTTTAAAGAATGCGAGGTTGAAGCAAGGGTGCACGGGTGCCAGCGTAAGGCTGCTTTGTCTGCATACATGTATGCAGACAAAGAAGCTATGTCTGATTATTTATCAATGCAGGATGCAAACTCTTGGACATATATTTTGTTGGAATAAACAGAAAATAAAAGAAATAACCTGGTTCGGTCTCTGTCGTTTTCAGGTCAACGTGATCAATCTTCACAGTTGACAGTGGTAATGGATGACATAATATTTAAAGATGCATGTGGAGAGAAATCCTAAGGTCTGTTGCAGGTTAAAAAAAAGCAAGACGAGCACCTCCCAGAATGCACTCCTCTCTCCACTTTAGCAGAGCCAACGCTAGAAAGGGGGCAACGGGGGAAAAATCATTGCGAGCAGTTGTGGGAAAGGCTTATCCCACTTTTTTTTACCCGCAACGGAGCACAGGTGATACTTCGATGCCGGGAATACTCGGAACTGTCCTTTTTTTTATAAACCAAAAAGACCTGTGGTCACCTCCTGCTTGCTTGCTTACAAAGTAATGGTCACCAGAATCTGTGCGGGAATGCAGCGAAACTGGGAAAGGCGAGGAAGCGCCAGACACGGTGCATTCCACCGTAGTCGTACTCGGGACGCACAGGTGTTTTTTCCTCTCCCCTGGGGAAACGGCTAGCAATAGTTGTCACTGCGACTTGATCCTATGCTTCGTTTCAGCTTAAATCCAGACACAGCCGATGCTACAAGCGCGCGCATGTGGCCCCGAGCAGCGCTTGCACTGTACGAGCGCGCGTGCTAAGCAGTCCCTGGGACGCTGACAGCCCGAAGCTCGCGCTTTTAGCATCGGCTGTGCCTGGACTTAAACTGAAACAAAGTGGATCTCTTCGGCCTACAGGGTAGCGAAGGCGACAGCCCGCGAGCTAGCGGGCTTACCTGGCGCGAACGCTCATTCCGCGAAAGCATGTTTAAAAATCGTCAGTATGAACTTGATGGCCCGTGACGCCGGTGGCGTAGGACAGCCCACGGCATCGGAACTTATGCGAATTGAGATTTGAAGCTACACCCTACAATCATACACCGCTAGGCCGGCTAGGCTGGCTACAAACATCACATCGGCTAAATTGAACGAGGCGCGAAATGTGCAACAGCGAAGAAAGTGCAGCTGGATTAAAAGCATTAAAACGATAAAAAATTAAAAAAAGAGATGGGTATATGAATGGACAGATAAGGCACTCACAGAGTGCGCTCACAGACACGGCTCTGGGCGATCTGCAGAAGGGTTTGGATTTGGGCTAGTTGGTTGAACATGTTTAGGGGTTAAAAGTGCTAAAAACGACGAACGAGCGCTCTGTGGTGTGTGTCTCTCCTACTCGTCCGTCGTTTTTAGCGCTTTTAACCCCTAAACTGGGCCATCTGGGCGCTCACGGAACTACTGGCGCCATCCAGCGGCAGATAGCGTGACCAACTCAGTCGCGTTACGGCGCGTATTTCGAATTATCGGAGGCGGAGCCGATTGACGAGTGAATTAATAGATTTATTTTACATAGAATTTTATGACGGCGTGACTGAACATTGGGATTTAGTCCAAAGTATTCAAGAACTTTAATTAGCACGGTGTGAATAAACAAACTTTCACCCCGCAGAAAGAGAAAGCGATATGAGAATGATAACGGGATCCGGACAATATGGTCCCGGACATTTTGGTCCCGGACAATATGGTCCCGAAAATGGTCCTGAGTGCTAGGCCGAACAAAATAGTCCCAAATCATTTTCGCGGCATTTTTTTTACTTGCTTTTCACAAGGTTGCAGACTGCGTGTATTTATTTTTGCTAAACACTCATGACATGAGCCGTTGGTCATTTTGAACCACTGATCTCAATGACAATTGCTGGATCGCGCTTGCCGCTCCCGCAAGTGAAGCCACCGGGCTTCACTCGCTTGGGATACGATTTGCCGTTTTTGCTAGCCTTTGCTGCGGTTTACCAGCGTGCTGACGACACGTTTTCTACTCGTTCGTCGTCATTCGCCGAAGAAGTTTTTTGAAGACTCTGTGTATTGTTGAGACTTGCCGTTGTTAACACGTGGAAAATTTTACGAAAGTGCAGTGTCGCAGGAAAAAGGCACAACGCGTCGAAAGGAAGAGCTGGCGGCGTGTTCAAAGCTTCCTTGGCACGCCGAAGTGCCGTGTCTCTGTGCCTTCGCGCGCTTGGATACCGACCAAAAACCGACGCCGTGTGAATGTGTTTAGCGAGCCAGGGGGGTTTTCGAAAGCAAAAGTACAAGACGGCGAGAATGAAAATCTTTGAAGCGCGGCCGATATGGTCGTGTGCAATCTGTTGACCACTTACAATTAGGCGAGCCGCGCTCAAACGTCAAGTGCAATTAAGTAGGTTGATAATAAGCCAGCACTGATCAGTGATGAGGAGCTGTTGTGCACGGTATTGTGTAAATCGTCTAAGGACGAAAAAAAGACGTACCTTCCCCCCATCTTCCGTCGCTAGTGGACGCTGGATTAAGCTCGTTCCTAAACCGCGAGGGGAAAAGACGCTGATCCAGAGGCACGAACAGCTTCACGCACATTGCACTTGCTAAACACATACACACGGCGTCGGTTCTTGGTCGGTATCCAAGCGTGCGAAGGCACAGAGACACGGCACTTCGGCGTGCCAAGGAAGCTTTGAACACGCCGCCAGCCCTTCCTTTCGACGCGTTGTGCCTTTTTCCTGCGACACTGCACTTTCGTAAAATTTTCCACGTGTTCACAACGGCAAGTCTCAACAATACACAGAGTCTTCAAAAAACTTCTTCGGCGAATGACGACGAACGAGTAGAAAACGTGTCGTCAGCACGCTGGAAAACCGCAGCAAAGGCTAGCAAAAACGGCGAATCGTATCCCAAGCGAGTGAAGTCCGGTGGCTTCACTTCCGCTGCAGCGAACAAGCGGGGAAGCGCGATCCAGCAATTGTCATAGAGATCAGTGTTTTGAACTAACTTTTTTTTATTGCTTTGTTTTCACAGGTTTCTGTTATTAAATCTGATTCGAAAAATAGTAAATACTTATGTTGCAAGCCGTTTGTCAATAGAGAGTTTATATGTTTTCGCATAATTTTCACCATTCGTTCTTCTTTTCGTGCGTTCAACTTGAGTTTGAACCAGTCTTCTGACAATCTGCACACAGTGCGTACAAGGGAGCCGTGCCATGAATGACACCCTGAAAGGCGTGGGCCATATTAACACGTTTCCACACCAAGTGCCGCTTCAAGATCGTAGACATTTTGTTGGAACATAATAAAACGTGTCATGTGTTCAAAACCATGTTTATTTCCATTGTGTTTTCCTAACATTGCATCGAGACACGCGGTATCTGCACGAAAAATTGCATTTCTTCCCCCTGTGACGAATCGACATGTGACGAACGGACCAATTCTATTTGCATTTCTATTATTCACCTTAAAAGAAATCGCTGCAGATATCAGCGACATTTTCGACAGAGCGTCAAAAATGTCAAAAAAGTTACTTGGGACCATTTTCTCCAGGTTTGCACTCGAGACCAAATTGTCTGAGACCATATTGTCTGGGGCCATATTGCCCTACAAACAATGAGCACACCACATAGAAGACAAGGCCTTTTCCCCACGAACGTAATCAATAGTGTATTCCTACACAGTGCCAGTTACCTCGTGTTAACGTTGCTGCTACCGCGTCTTGCATCGTCTCAGAACGAGTGCGACGCTAGCACGCACGCGTCTACCGCTTTCTGGCTACTCTTGTCGAGCTTCAGTGTGTTTGCCGCGATGTCGCGAACATGTCCAGGTTTGAGTTCGACCGACTTCAACTTTTTCGACCTTTCAACATGATGTTCGACAAAGTTGCGACATAAAGGGGTACGGAAACGAAAATTGAAATATACGAATTTCGTTCCGAAATGAGTCAAGCATGACGGATAATAACCGTAAATGATAATCATACATTTGTATTTTGAACGACTGGCTATATTTTTTGATTCCAAACGTTGCACTCGAGCAAGCGCTCCAAGAGAAGCGAACGGATAGCGCGACGCGTCATGGTGGGGCTCCTTGTTTTCGGATAAATCCGAAAAACACCCGCCGGTAAAACTTTGCTCGCTTCGGATTTATTTGCTAAACTCCGAATTTTGATGTGCCAATGCCCTTCCCTCCCCTTCCCCCAATAAACTAAATAAAGACGGTATTTTAACAATTAAGTTTGATCAGCGCACATGGTCAATGGTCCCGGGAAAATGCCACCACACTTATCTTTCAAATCTCAGAGAATTGACAAAAGGGTTCTTACCGTTTATCTTGTCAAGGTTCAGGACGACATGTCATTGTACTTTTGGATCACGACAAAAGCCTCTGTATTGGTTTTCTGTTTGGGCCATACTATTTGTGTTTTAAGAGGAAGGAGAGGTTGTGTTTTTGTAACAGTCAAAGCTATGGACCAGTGGTTCTCGAATCTCAACCATCGATGTTTCGCGGACCCCTTATGGATCGGTAAATATGATGGAGGACCCCGATTGTGGTGAAGGGAGGGGGGGGGGGGGGGGATATAGGTTAAATATAGTAATGCTTTAATAAATGGATATAACTAATGGCTAGTGTGAAGTATACCTCTCTTATCGAGCTACACACGAGAAAATTCGCCCGAAAACTGAAACATCCCAGCTCGACCTGAAAAAAGAAAACTTTTATTGTCGGGCCTGACTGATAAGGCAGGGCTTCGTGGACGCCTAGAATGCCCTTCGTGGACCCCCATTTACGAACCGCTGCTATAGACCATAGAGATGGCGTAAAATTGAAAGAGGGGCACTTTTAGCTTTCCTATTAGATCCTTTACCAGTCCACCTCGCGTGGCCGTGGGGTAGCATGGAATCGGTAGAGCACTATATAGCTCCTACGGAGCAGAGTAGCGCAATCCTTTGAACCCCGTGTTTTGCCGACAACATGGCCGACAGAGCGGCTCGGCGCGAGTCACGTGGTACTCAG